GCACAAGAAGGAATATATGGTAAATAAAATGCCAGAGATATGCAGGTATTGTAGGTATGAGACAGCAGAGAAGATATCATTTTATGATACTGTTGTTTTCTTTTTCCCGTAGCAGTTGTTAGACAAACAGAAGGATTCTGTGAATGCCCATAATTCCCATGAAATGGTGTGTTTGAGAAAACCTAAACATGCATAGCATAGTGCTATTAATATACTTCAGCATTGTAAATGCAATGTGAAGAATACCTACGCCTATACCTTAGTTTCAAAACAAACTTAGTGATGGTTATCTTCCATTTCATACTGTCATCTTCCTCTGTCTGTGATGTGATCAATGCACAGCATGCTCAGAGCATCCTCTGTGCTAGGGGAAAACCTTCCTACTCCTACTACCAAATATGTGCTCTGATATTCAGTGAGACATATTGTTTAAACAAGCACATTTTGCAACTTATTTGTCATACTTGCCTGCAGTTTTTTAAGTATTATAAATATTCATATAGAGCAAATCTCATTCTCAGGCTATCTTAAGTGAGCCAGAAAGGCATTTTTTCCCTTTTAGGAAGGGGAAATGGTATATTGACTAATCAGGAAGAAGCTGCAGTTGCATTTTTATAGATCATATACTAGATAAGGATAAATAGGTGGCGCTTACAATATGTAAATGCTGGAAAAATAAGAGATCCAAACCAGTGCCTGTTGAATTTTATAAAATCATCAATACTAAGTGCCTCCTAGTCTTGAAAACCTGCTCGTGAAAAATGGGAACTGCCAAGGGATGAATGGCCATGGGGCTTTCAAAGGGAGCTGCACCATTTAGCTGTGGTTTATTTACTCACAAAAACACTGTCTGAGGCTCTTTTTTGAAGCTGGACAGGCAACGTTCTACGTTAAAGTCTGTGTGGGGAGCAGAGCATGGATGACAGAGTAAAGAGAAGAAAATGGTGAAGAAGCAACCTGAAGAATCAGGGTTAAGAGCTGGATATTGTAAGGATTGGAAGGACTAGACTGAGGTTAATTTGAGTTGAACAAATAAATGTAGGTAATAAGTTTCTTGTTGTGCAGCTAACAGAAAATTAGAGTCAGGATGCAAGTGGTTTTAGTAAAGAACATTTTAGTTGGTGAGCAGCCATGATATTTATGTTTTATTGCTAATCTAAAAAGGAGGGGGAATATATTCCCCAACTTGTCATATAAAGTGACAGGTTTTTAATTTGCTAACTAATATTCCCTTTCCCATAATCCAGAGAAAGAGGGCTCATACAGACAGTCTTTTTGGTGCTATTAAGGATAGTAATAACTGTTCCTTTTTTGAAACAAAGAACACTGATACTGCCTATATGTTACAGTTGAATTGGTGGTGAAGATTAAGCTGAAATTTTGATTCTCCAATAAAAGTGAGAGAGGTACAGGCTCCAGGGGATACCTATCTGTCATGCAGTCCCAAAGTTTATTTCTGAACTACCATTGTTCTTGATTCTGATTTGCCAGAGATTTCTTGAGCGCTTTGGAAGGTGTACAGGCAATAAAGACTCCTTGCTCTGGTTATTGTTTCTAGCTAGCAGGTTCAGGTTATTCTTTGTTACATTCTCATTTTGTCAGTTCTCATCTTACAACAGTTCTGAGTTGTCTGAAGACTGTCTTGTCTGAAATGGTTTATTTATCTACCTCAGAAGTATAATCCACTTTCTATTAGGTTGTATTAGATTTTTAAATACCCTAAAAGAAAACAAGCTTCACTGATATCTGTTTAGCTGCAAAATATGGACATTTTAAATACAGGTAGGGACCTGTGACTGAGTATCTAGTGCCATTTTAGATCTCTCAGCCTCCAGCTGCTTTGAAAACAAAGGCATGAGTCAATGAAGATCTTCTCATATGTGCCAACTCATCACGGGTGTCACAGATACCATGGAGTGTACATTCACCCATGCTTAAACATCTGAATTGCTACCAGGAGACCAGAATGTCTCGCCATATCTGAAAGGGTAAAGATGAAAAATTATTTATTCCTGTCATCAGTGTGATGAAATAAATGAGTTGAGATTGGCAGCAAAGATTGCCCCCCACCCCCACACAGTGACACCTATGCTTTTGCTACCACAACCAGTGTCCAATTCTTCCCTGCCTTTATTCTAGCCAGGATGAAAGAGAATCAAAAGAATCCTTTTGAATCTTTTAGTATCAGGAAGGTGATTGCTGACTTATCACTCAAAGACACAAGAGTATGTTGCTAACTTGGTACTGTATTTAAAGACTAATACGTTGCTTAGAAAATACAGGTGTTTGTATTTGGTAATAGCATAAACTCCCCACAGATCCCTTGTCATGGCAAGTGCTCAGCACTTTAAACAACTTTACAAGAATGTAAGAGCATTTGAACCCCCAAGAGGAAATAAATTTTTGCTTATTCTAGCATTCTGAGTAATGTTTCATCAGGAAAATAGAAGGATGTGTTAGTGTTAACTATTCAGCGTATTTTGCATTTTCTGGCAAAACTACTCAAAGTAAAAATGGCAATGAAAAGAGACTAAAATACTAAAAAGATGAAAGTAGGAAGCATTATTTCATTAATGTGAGATTATCCTTGAAGGTCAGTTACGTTGGGAAATAGTTGTCATTGAAGCAATTAAATCTGTTATGAAACGACACATTTTGGTAGGTAATGTTTTTATGTTTTGGCACTGAATGGTACCTTCATTTGTGTTTTATGGGCTGGACAGGGAGTGTTTTACTATCTCACAGTTCTATAATGTTGAGCAATTAGTGGGATGCTGGAAGACAGTAATACCATGATACAATCTCACATCAAAATGTCAGTGTTGCCAAAACACATACAATATTGAAAGCAATGCAACTTTGTATATATCAAAACACTGAGATCATTGTTTGAGTGGTCTTCTGAGTAGAAACAGGAGCTGATCTCCACATTTAGGGCCTAGCTCTGCCCCCGCTCAGTGACAGGAGCACTGTGCAGGGTGATTTTGGTCTGCGTGGGTGTAGTTTGCACCAATCACTTATTTGCTGATGATCAGTCTGCCATTGCTAAATGCCTGTGAAACTTGGTGAAGACCAGACTGGAATGCTGCGCAGGAGAAAAGTGATATTGCTATAGAAATAAACAGGTGATCTCATCTGAAGGTGATTTACCTGAGCTGTATCAAACTATAGCTTCAAGTGTCACGTTTCTGAGGAAATAGAAATTTTGGCTCCTCTAACCTTTAAATGTAATTTTGCAGTTTGCAGCAAGTGTAGCTGTACCATGTAGTGCTGGCGACAGGCAGAGTCTCCCCTTCTAGTGAGAAGTGACTGAGCGAGCAGCCCCTGCCGCCCTGGCCTGCTGTAAGCAAACCCCGGCCGGCCACGGCCCGGCGTCCGGCCAGCCTGCGATCGGCGATGGACACCAGGGCCAGGGAGCTCCTGTGCTCCCAGAAAACAGCAGTAACCTGACACAGCCACCTCTGTTCTGTTGCATGAACATCCAGTACTCCCTTGCAATACATGATGTAGCCATACTGTTTGTTGGCTTTATTCTGCTACTGTAGCTCACTGGTAGTGATGTGCTTCATTTAACCCATTCTGTAATTGAACTACACATTGAACACGCATTCATTCTGCACTTAGGGCCTGATCCAAAGCATATTAAATATGTTTGAAAGATCCAGTCAAGGACTTTTGGCTCAGGCCCTCTACTTCTCTCAATGCAGTTGCTTTTTTTTTTTCCTTTTTGTTCATGGGCTGTGAGGGTTTTCTTTCTTTTGGAAATAGCTGCATCTAAAAGAAAAGCAAGGAATTGCACAAAGACAACCTGCATCTTTCCCTCTCTATGTGTTAAATGCAGCTGTTGTCACATGTATAGTATTGTAATTGAAATAGAGTGTCAGTGTTGTGTCCTCATGGTTTAGATGATAGAATTTAATATATAGAAAATCATACGAATCTAGATGAGTATTGTCATTTTGTGGAAAGATAAACAGTCACATAGAAAATAGATGACATAGGTAAGTGAATAAACTGATATTATGCTACAGCTGTAATGCAATTTATGCTCAGTGGCTCTGCACACGATAGTCAGATGTTATCCTGTCCCCAGGTACTTCTGAAAACTTTATCAGAGAGTAGACAATTTTTTTAAAGTCATCATAGGCACATCAAGATACTAGCAGACTAGATGGTGCTATAGATTATTAAAGTAGGATTAATTTAAAGTGTACTGCGAAGTGCACTTGACATCTTGGATCCTACAGAGTATCCTGGATGTTTTGAAGGCTTTGTCAAAGAAAAAGCCTCCCACAGTTGCTTCAGAGGCTTTAAAGATTTAATTTTGATTTTAAATTACTTATTTTTAAATTACTTATTTTCCTCCTACACTGCCTCATCACATTTTGTGTGCTAAAATACACAACTTAAAATGAAAACTGTGCTTTTACAGCAGCTGTGGGGAAAGGAAAAACAAGGAACACAAAGTTCAGAGAGCCTTTGGTGCTGGGGATCCTGACATTCAGAGCCCTGACAGTTGACTGGGTAGTTGGGCAATTTTGCATGCAAAGGCACTTCTCCATCTAGGAAAGAAAGAGAACACAGAGAGTTTGTTATTTGAGAAACGGATCAGCCTGGAACTGTACATAGCATCTAATGTCCATGTAGAGAAGTGTTAGGTGTAAGAGGGTGGAACAGGACCAGCATATTATCAGTATTACAAACTGTGCTCAGAAGTATCAATAGACAAGGAAGAAAAGAGGTGGTAAAACTTAATGTGATCAGTGGTTTGAATACATCACGTTAACGTACTATATATGCATATGCACCTCACAGCAAATGATGCTCCAGTAATAGCACTAGCTACTGAACTACAGACTGCTTCAAAGCATGCATTTACTGAACTCATTTGAACTACAATTATCTGCCAATGTAGAGCATAATTTCAATGTATCCTAAAATTGAATATTTGGATTAATCTGATATATCTTTTATTATTAAGGAAAAATATTTATTTTCAGATGCAATTGTGTGGAACCAGAACATCCTAGCAATAAAACCTTACAATACTGGCAGGACTACAATATATCTGCATCTGATGTGCCATGGGGGAACCTAACTGTGTCAGTAAGTAAATTTTGGAACTTAATAAATAAAGGCATCGGCATAAATAATTTTGTCCATCTTACTGCAACAAATATATTTTAAAAATACCAATTTTCCTGCTCATATTTGTTGAAATAAATAATAAAAGATACTTAACGAAAATTGACATGAACTTTATAGCGTTATCTCCTTTTGTAAGCTTTTTGCAGCAAGTGTGTGCATTTTATGCCCTGCTTTGGAACCTTCTTGACACACTAGCACAAGAGCTTGGCTGAGATTAAGTCAAACATGTCAAATGACAATGAATTTGTCCTGAATTCTGCCAGATGGCAAAACCAAAGTTCCCTTGTGTAGAAAGAATCAGAAGCATTTATTTCCCCTAAAACACTCTTGCAGTAGTTCAGGCTACAAAAAAGAGGATGGGGAGAAATTTTCTCTTCAATGACCACTTTTTTCTCACATAAGTTCTGTAATTTCTTTTCCCAGGGGAGGAAGGGGATAAAGCTACAGTTTAGTGGGGCTTGCATGAATGTGTAACAAGCTTAACGGTACACTTCTCTGTGTTTAAAGGATTTATAGAATTCAAGTTTGCCTTCTTCAAAGTGACATTTACAACTTGATTAAAACATTGTGTTGAGATTGGGCCACCACTTTTTCTTGCAAATGGATCATTTAATTTCAGTCAAAGAGAATTGAGTGCAAAAGACACCAGACTGAAGAGATAACTGAATTAACCAAATCGTAGGCATAAACAAATTGAACACTTTAAAGCCAATCCAGTGGACTGTCTCCAGAAGATACTGTTCTTTTTTTTTCAAAGGCAGGGATGCAGAAGAGCTCATGTTAAGTAAGAGCTGTCTTCCATGGCTGCTCTGTCTTGCTTCCATGCCTTCCTTTGAGCAGGGACTGCTCCTCAACTCTGTTGGTGTGGCAACAGCAGAAAGAAAGTTGAGAACTGCTGGCCTGAGGGATTCCAGCAGTCCAGAATGAATATTCTCAAAATTGCAGCACACTCTAAGAGCATCTGTGCAGGAGCAGACTCCTCCTCTCACTTTCTCAGATCTCTGACAGTGTTTTTCAGAGTACATTTGCAGCTGAGGAGATTTAAAATAACAGATTTTGTTTTAACTATAAATGTAAAAGACTGGCTGCATTATATAAAACCCTTAAAAACTTCTGTGAAAGCTTATTACCAAAACTTGAGTTTACATAGGTAGCAGTATAACTGACCAACTTTTCCCATGAGTCCTTGTAACTGTCAAAGAAATAACTGATTTTTTTTTAACTTTTGTGTCTTTGTTTCTTGCAAGCATCATCAAGAAACTTCTGTTCTAGAGAACTGCAGTAAGAGATTAGACATTGCTGTCTGTAAATATTTGGTCAGACTCACCCCATTATGTCTCTTTTACTGCTCATATCTTCATATATTTCTTGTGTCTAGTTGAAATGTTTCAGGTTTCTGAAGATCTGGATTCTTATTCTTTCTTAAAACCCAATGATTACTTTTTGCTATCAAGACAAACCAAGTGTGAACAAAGGATTTTGGACCAAGTATGAAGAGGATTTTGGACAAGTGTGAAGAGGATTTTTGATGGTGACAAAATCCTCTTCAAGAGGCATATGATGAACTGCATCCCAAGTTTACTGCTATAGCAGTATAAAAAACCTTGCACTCCTTTGTCTCACAGTCATCAAATAGCAGTTGTGGTTTTTTTCCAAGACAATCTTTTTTCAAAGCCAAAGTTTCCCATAACAGGATAATTGTGCAGTGAGTGTGATGATCCAATGACACACTTGTTTAATACAAAAAGTTCCTGATCTGGCAGGATATTTCTTCCTGGAATCCCTGATTCTGGGTGCTGCATTTCATTTTTCTTAATAAGTGTGGAGGCATTGGGAAGGAGGAGGAAAGGATTGTGAGTCCAGAGCTGGTAGCTCACATTTCTAGAACTGCTCTTTATGATTTTAAATGACTAAGGATAGTAGTGGAGAAGTACTGGAAATTATTCCTACTGTATCTGCATATTGATAATAAATTATATTAAATATAATTAGTGTTAAATATTTAGGGTTTTCGGGCATTTTATCATATCTTTTTGTAACAGAAATACAATTTGCAGGATGTGCTGCCCCCATGTGGTATTAAATGTATTGGGCTCCTTTTAGGCCAATGCCACAAGTCCTAAATAGCTTTTTCTTCAATTGCTGGGGCTGTGAAGTGAAAACAAAAAAGCAGTTCTTGAGAATGCACCAGGAGCAGACTTTCTCTTTGTGCCTTTTGAACTTTGCTTTCCACACTTGGAGAGTGTTAGTAAGTGTAAATCTGTATTTGTACACAGAAAATAAATCGGTGTACTTGCTGAATTTGAAAAAAACCCCTGTTTTTATGTTAATGACTTTATTTATGGTATGTCTTAGCGACTTCATCATTTAGTATGGCTAAAAAAGAGATTCCTTTGGGAATTTTCCATGCAGACTAGATAGACACATAGTGAGCTTTAAGTTTTAAAAGAATAAATATCTAGAAATTGTTTTACTATTTCTAGTAATACAATTTAGAAAAGAAACTGGAAAAGAAAGTGTAAGCATGGATAATTTTTAGGACAATGCTATTTTTCTCTCCCTGATAGGAATGTAAAAAGTTTCACGGTGAGTTTGTTGGGCGAGCCTGTGGTCATCATGGTCCTTACGTTCCAGACGTCCTCTTCTGGTCTGTCATCTTGTTCTTCTCCACAGTAACGCTCTCATCCACTCTGAAGCAGTTCAAAACCAGCCGATACTTCCCAACAAAGGTGTGTGCCCTTATTTTAATTCAAAAGTTGTCATCAGTCACGTCTAAGTATGAATTCCGTCCGTATTGCAAATTCAGTTAACTGCTGGTGAAGTAGACAGGGCATCTTTCCTCTCTTAGAAACTTGTATCAGAATAAGCATGGTTTTAGATGTAAGCTAAAGCTGTAAGTTGTACCAAAACAGTGAAGAAAAATCTTAAATCATACCTGAACGTTTTAGTTAAAATTGTAATTTCTCTCAATAATTGTAGGTACGCTCTGTTGTCAGCGACTTTGCTGTCTTTCTCACTATTTTGTCCATGGTTTTAATTGACTATGCCATTGGAATTCCATCACCAAAACTTCAGGTTCCAAATGCTTTTAAGGTAAGTTGTTGATAAATTGCACTGCTTTGTCATTTTGCAAAGTAATCTATTATGATGGGTTTATAATTGTTTATTATCATCATCAGGGAGTAGTGATTGTATGAAAATTTTTGTGTTCACAAGGAATTATGCAAACTCTCTGATTTATGGATCATGTAAGTGAGCCTCTCCCATCAGGCTCTTTCATGCTTCTTGATGTTAATTTCCTCTGTAGAAATTAGCAGGGGTTGAATCACCCAAATTCTAGACTACTGTAATGTTCTGGGGCTTCGTCCAAATGTTGGGTTTACTGTATCAAGTGCAACCAAGTCTGTAATAATCCGGATGATTTTGTTATATGTAATTTCTTGGCTTGGCATCAGAGGAAGTCTAGCATGTTTTTTAGTGCTCTATACAGGTTGGTTTTAAAGGAAGTCATATCCTAATAATGTTTTGTATGTATTCTTGTGAAATTGAAATGTGAATAATCCTTACACTTCTGACTGGCCATGCATGACTGTTTTTATAGCCCACCAGAGATGATCGTGGCTGGTTTATTACTCCTTTGGGGCCTAATCCTTGGTGGACAGTGATAGCTGCTGTAATTCCAGCCCTGCTTTGTACTATCCTTATCTTTATGGACCAGCAGATCACAGCTGTCATTATCAATAGAAAAGAACACAAACTAAAGGTATTCAGTCAAAATTTATACTTGTGCTGTTGTTTTCTGCTTCAGATTATGTAATGTGCATCCATCTACTTTAGTATGCTAGCTTGTATTATATATTATATAGAACCCGTTTAAATTTTTATGCTTTTTTCTTTGTTGGTCTTTGTACCTGTGCCCTGTGTCAGTGATCCACTGCCTTACAGAGGACTTTATGAATGTCATTTGAAATACAGGTTCTGAGTTAGGAAAGTGCTGCCTTCTGTGCGTTAGTAGAAGTAGGATTCATTCACTATAAAAAGACGCATTCCAGTTGATAATTTCCTTAAATACCACAGTATTAATGCCTTCTTCAGGTACTGACAGTGTTGTTCTACTGGACTGGATTTTTAAAAACTACTTGAGGTTATTTTGTAATATAAGATTTTTTTCCCCTCTGTTTGTCCTTCTCTGTGGTTCTACCCATCCTTTTTTTTTAATGCTCTTCCTACGTTAAAGAAGGGAGAAGAATAAAACTGAGCCTTAGAGGCACAATGGGTTCTTAAAACAACATAGGACAACTTCCTGCTCTGTTCTCTAACACTTTAGTTGCCTACAGATGGAGAGAGAAAAAGGGACATCACCCCTCTGAAAAACTGTTGGGCAAAATCTAGCAGCAGGTTTCTGTACATGTATATGCAGCAAGCTTAGGCTTTTTTTTGACATACTTTTAATAAGCAGCAATCCAATCCCAAGTTGCTTTAGCAAATGCATTTGCAACCTTCACTTTGCATTGCCTCTTCTTGGATGATTGTGACATTTGATATGTTCTTTTTTTGCCCTCTTTGTCAGCCTGGCTCTTCATGTCAATCCATAGCATTGCATGTGGTTAACTTGACAGATGCAGGAATTTGCTGCCAAGCTTTGGAATGTGTTTTTTCAGCACTGGCATCTGGGAGTCAGATGGTCCTCCTGGCTGCCCCCTTGTCTTGCTGCGTTTTAGTTTTGCTGGGGTCTGGTGTAGCATCACCTGTTGCTATGCTTCCTTTTCTTCCCATATGTCAGGTTCCTCAGATCATGTATGAATGTGAGGAAATGCTCTCGGATTCTGTATGCATTAGCAGATACATTCCTCATAAATGTGTCAGAAGGTAAAAAAAGGTGTCTCTGTTAGGATTTAGAATTAAACTCTTTCTTTGAGTGCATTGTGCCTGTAACTAATATCTGTGTTTGACACATCTCTGAGTTTGTCAAGATGTGTCTTGGAGATAAGTCTCATAAGCACTTTTGGGGAGTGAGGGAAGGTTGCTAGAGTTGATTCTCTTCATTTTCTTTACTTTTCCCCCTTTTTAAATAATGTAAGCAAATAAGATGGCATTTTCATTTTGATATGTGGCTTACATTTTCATAAACCCAGACGCTTCCCATTTTAGAAGTAAAAGTTGTCTTCATAAAGAAATGATTTGTTTGCTTCCAACTCATTTTCCCCTCTTTTTTTATACTTCCCATAGCAAATTCTGGATAGTGCTTTCATTTCAGCTTTTGGCAGTCTCTGTAGCAAACCCTTCCAAGTTTAGTTCAGTTACTTTTTTTATGTCAAAAGGCATTTGCATGGGTTTACAGGCAAAATTATGGTTCAACATATTCACATTGTTTGCATGAACATCGCTGTTTCATCAGACCATGACACTGGATTTGTTGCCATATTGCAAAGTTTTGTGGAGATGGCTAACTACCTGACTTTTTAAAGGAAAATAGCTTCAGCTGCTGCTTGCAGCTGTGAGGAGGTCCTGGATACTTGCTAAAATTGAAGTGAAACATCCCACTCAGCTATGGTTCAGCTATGGTAGCAGATATCTATAGGGCCAAGCTTGATGCATTGATGCATTTTTCTTTTTCAAGTGAAGGTCGTTATTGGAGGTTTTTAAATTTATCTAAGATTCAACCAAAAGGTTTTATGCACAAAAGCAAACCATTATCCATCTGTTGGTAAATTTATGTAGCATTTGACCACTACAGAAGTGATCCAAACCCAAAGGTTTTGTACTGACTTTTCATATGGATATTATGATGCTATGTTTGAATAAGGAAACCAGTAAAGCAGCTTTTTATATTTTAATTTAATTTTAATTTTTAAACTTAATTTTAATATTTTAATTTAATAGATTTTATTTTTTAATTCAATGTATCTTCTTTCCTGGCTATCTGCTCTTATCTAACATTGAAAGTACGTTACTGAAAATGTATATCATGTGCTTTCTATCTTAAAAAACTTTAGAAGGAACACTGTGGTTTTATGGCCCCTTGTAGCATAAACTGACTTTGTAAATGTTATGGATTTTTATGGAGGGACCAATAAAAATACATACTTTCCCACCTCTTTGTAAGAATGGATGGAAGATCTACTAAGATTAGTGCAGTGGGAAGTTGGCAGCACAGCTGGATGTTCTGCTTACTGTTATCCACAGAAGAGACTTAGTTAAAACAGAAAATGTATGTATTTTCCAGTGTCACACCAGTATCCATTTCATAAGTAGGAAAGCTGTTTGGTGCCCACTGTAGAGTGGATTTCTGGTACACTTAATTTGTAACTGGAAGGAGTCCAGTGACATTGAGCACTGAGTGTGAACCAGTAGGAATTCCCTGTAGAAAACCAGTCTGCCATCCCTACTGACCTAGCCTGGATAACACACAGAAGGAAGCTATTTTTTTCCTACAAGTCTCAAATTTTCAATTGTCTCTAGCTGTTCATTAGGAATGCCTGCCAGGAGTGTTCTCCTTAATTCAGATGTCATTTTACATCTTCTTTCCATCCTTACTTTTTTTAACAGAAAGGATGTGGATACCACCTCGACCTACTCATGGTGGCAGTGATGCTTGGTGTGTGCTCTATTATGGGATTGCCGTGGTTTGTTGCAGCCACTGTCCTCTCTATTTCCCATGTGAACAGCTTAAAACTGGAATCAGAGTGCTCTGCTCCAGGGGAGCAGCCAAAATTTCTTGGAATCCGGGAGCAAAGAGTCACAGGGCTCATGATTTTTATCCTTATGGGCTCATCTGTCTTTTTGACAAGTATTCTAAAGGTAATGTGGGGAAATAAGGGAAACTTAAAGAATACTGCACTGAACATTTCACTGTTGTTACTGTATTATCTAATGAATGCTCTTTCCAGGCGCATTACTAACTAGCATAATGTTACACAATGAGAGTTTAAAGTGGAATTCTAATTTTGCTTAATAAAGTGCCTAGCATGTTTAAAATAAAAACCTTGTAATGAAAATCTGGCCTGACTGAAGTCAAAGGGAATTCTGCCATTGAGCTGTATTCACACTTTGTCAATACTTTGGGCCCATGGCAAATTACCATGAAACACTCTCGTTATACCAATTTAAAATTTATTTAGATAATTTAAAAACATTTTGTGGTTTCCAAGTAATTTAAAAATATTTTCACAGTTGCAAGAGAAGTTCTATGGTTTATTTCTTGGAAATGAACAGAAAAATTACCTCATGCTTCCTGCATACTCAAGACAGCTCACCAGTGTCCTGAAAAAGGGTGTCTAGTTACAGTCATATCTAATACCATGTATACATGTAATAAAACTTTTAAAATAATTATGTGCCCTCTGTGCAATCAGTGAGAGTTTTGGCACTGGCTTTAGTAAAACTAGAACTTATTCTTGAATATTGTTGCAGTGAGGGCAATAAGCCCTTGTACTTCCCAGCAGTATTTTATTAAGTATATCATAAAGCCTTCACTTTGAAAACACACAGAACGTGCATTTTGTGTATTTAGTGTTTCTAACAGATTCTATGGACCTACTCATTTACCTACACAGTTTATGCTATGAACCTGAACACTTAAATAGTCTCTTTAAACATCATTCCGTAGAATCATTCACCCATTTTTAAATGCTTACAGCACAAAATATTACTTTTAGCAGTAAGAAGTATTTTGTGTCTCTTGAAAATTTTTCTGAGCTGTCCTTAAAGAATTTAAGTATAAATTAAGGTTTTAATTTTTTTTTGGTGTAGTTCTGTTAATTTTATTAATAGGGAATTAAGTATATTGTAATAAATGGCCACAAGAGGAAAATAAAACTACAAAGCCAGATTATTCTTTTGCTTTGTACTGAGAAACATTATTAATTTATAATTGAGTGACTCTGAATTTGCAACTTGTCTGATTAATGCAGGCATATGGCACTTTGTATTTCAGCTCTTTTGAATGTCTTTCTAGAAGTGTTTAAAATTTGTAAGTAGTATTAAATATGCTCTTCTCTTTCTCTGCTTGTTTGTGCAGTTTATTCCTATGCCAGTACTTTATGGAGTGTTTCTTTACATGGGTGCTTCATCTCTAAAGGGAATTCAGGTAAAATGGATTTTTGATGAGTGTGTTATTGATGATGCTTTCTATAAAAAATATTGCTGTTCTTATATTATTCTATTAGCTTTTATGTATAAAGGAATGTTGCTAACCTTAAATTTTTGAAAATGACTACTTAAAAGGAAAATGGATTCTCTCTAAACAGCGTATTCCCTTTAGGCAATGTGCTCCATTTCCCCCTCTATTTTCTGGGTGCTGATTTTTCTGTTTTCTCTTGTTATCAAGGGAATTTTGCTGAGCCTAAAAACTGAGTAATAACTGTCAGGGGCTCTTCCCTCTCTGCTGCCTCCCCATTCACTTGCTTGCATGCTGCCTTTTCAAGTTACTTTGCAGGGCTACACTCATCTTGAACTTTGTCTTTAGGGCTAACTTGCCCTAAAACTGACCTAAGTGAAATTTTGAAGATTTTCCCTGAACAAATGCACACTCCGGGCAGGGAGTTGCAAGCCACAGCACTTCAGGGATGAAGGGTCCAGTCTAGTGGAAGGGCAGCATTCCTGCAGTGGCCTCAAGTAGGAGTAGCTGGCAGAAAGCAGGCATTCCAGCACTCAGGTAGGGATTGTACTGTGCTCTTTTTCTCCTGGCTGACTGCAGCATGAAATGGCACAGTGTCAAATCCTTTAGCCCACGAGGCATAGGCACACCTCCCAAGACAATTGAGAAAGAACAATCACACAGTAGAAACACAAGTTACACTGTGCAAAACATCAAATAAAAAAAGCAAACTAAATTTCTGATTTTTTTTTTCATTATATTTGATTGCAATTTACCTCCATTTATAAGCAAAGCTGGGATTTTTTTTTTTTTTTTTTTTGAACATCTTCTGGATCCTTCTCAATTTTGAAAATTACTTTATAGCTTTGCCTATCTCTTATCCTTCGGGCTGATATTCTCAGAAGTGTAGTTTGGCTTTTACTGAGGTTTAAATAATTTCAATTTAATATGGTTCAGCTGTTTCTCAGAACAGGGGTATGAGAAAGTACACTACACTATTGAGGAGTGTTTTTAAGACATGCTGAAATCTGGCTATCTTTACTTGGAAAAGTGATAGCATCCCCCTCCTTATCTTCCTCCCCCATGCTGGGATAAGGAATAGAGATTTGATAAGATGGCTTTTGTGGGAGGATGTGCTTTTTGCTGTTTCTGTGAAAAAGGAATATACTCAAATCTGGCTAAACTATAAGCCTTTAAAAAAATGCAGTTTGCACATGCTCAATAAAAATTTCCACCAGTTGACATTGCTGAAGGCTGTGTGAATATAGCATGGCTCATCCATACAGGAAGAATTGGTGTATCACCATTGTGCCATGAAATAGATGTCTCAGGTCAGTATGGAGCCAAATAGGCCTGAAAAATAGGAACCTCTCGCATACATTCCTAGCAGCACGGCAGCCAACTTTCTGGCATTCATTCCTTTTTTTTTTTTTTTTTTTTTTTTTCCCATAAAGTGAAATATGGAGAAGAAAACAGCCTGGGATAAAGTGTCTGGTGAAGTAAAATAAAAGTTGTTCATTCACAGGAAATAGAAGACTGCAGAGGTCTCTCCATGTGCAGCTTTTTATGTGCTAAAGGAGGCAGAGCTCAGTTGTTCAAAAAGGAGTCTAGGATGTATTAGGAAAGAAGTGTGATGTACACATGCCCAACAGGATCAACCAGCTTCCATTCAGCTGGAGTCACAATTGATTCATGACCACTCTGAAGTCTGGCTTTGCCTAATGTTAAGAGTTCATAACTTGAACTCTGTTCAAATCTTAACATTTGAACTGGTTCAAGTAACCACCTTCTTTGTGTGTAACATCCAGTGTAGTAACAATGTGTGTAACATCCAAAGAACAGAGTATTTCCTGCAGTATAGAATGTATAGAATGTAATTCAGCAGAGTTCAATGTCTCAGCACATCTGCAATGCAACCTAGGGAGGCACATATGTATTCAAATGGAAAGGCACTGAGGTATGACTAACCAAGTAATTAAACTCTGCTTAAGTAACGTTTCTCATTCCTGCTCTGGTGGCTCAGTGGGTGAGAAGACAAGTCATTTGCCACTGCTGGACTAGACTAAATTAAAGGCTTATGGTTGTTACTGTTCTCTTCTGTGCTGCTGAAATTATGTAGTTTTCGCCTTTAGAATAACAAGCCAGTTTCTTTGGATGTTCAGGATCTCTCAGACAGTGTGTGAATGCCAGCATAGATGATCCTACATCTCATTTTGATTCAAACTCATAAAATTTTCTCTTTCAGCTTTTTGACAGGATAAAGTTATTCTGGATGCCTGCAAAGCACCAGCCAGATTTTATTTATCTAAGGCACGTTCCTCTTAGAAAGGTCCATCTCTTCACTATAATTCAGCTGAGTTGTCTTGTGCTTCTCTGGATTATAAAGGTTTCAAGAGCTGCCATTGTCTTTCCTATGATGGTATGATTTTTTTTAAATTTCCTCTAAAAATCCCTAATTATTTTCACTTGTGGATAATTATTATTGAAGAAAAATATAATTTTGGCAGCTAATTATAATAGTGCTTTGATTCTGTGTTCAAGGAAAATTTGTAATGCATTAAGTAGTAAAAAATTTGACATTTAAGCTCTGTTTTGAGTCCTATGTGTGGATATCCCAACTTATATTCTCTTAGGGAAAATTCTTCTCTTAAAGAAAAAATACTAAAATTTATTTGATTTTTTTTTATTTAAGGAATATTACTAAATCCTGTTACAGAAAGAAAATTCACTTATTAAGGAAGACTGCTTATTGAACTGAGGAGCCTAACAGTTCTGTGTCTTGGGAGAAATAACAATAGTCTGCTGCTTTAGTGATTTCTCTGATGATTTCACTAATAGAAAATAGAAGATATTTACTGACCTCAGTGATTGTTAAATGCTTCAAACAATACTTTGAACAAAGGAAGAAAAGCAGCTGTTAGCCTAATCAAATTAAAGGATAAAATTTTAGCTACAAACTGTTCACTTTTGAAAGAATTCCTCTACAAGTCTATTTGTCTGTTTTACTTGCTTAATTTCCTAATTCTTTTAATCTCTTTTCAGGTCCTAGCTTTGGTATTTGTCCGAAAACTCATGGATTTCTTTTTTACCAAGCGGGAGCTCAGTTGGTTAGATGATTTGATGCCTGAGAGCAAGAAAAAGAAATTGGAAGATGCTGAGAAAGAGGTGGGTCATGGTTTCAGGTTTCTGTGTGTAGCAGTTTATCAATTTTTCCTTCAGACATTTAGAGAAAATTCTGCAAGGCACATTCCATGTACCAGGCAGACTTGTTAACGGTATCTAATTGTAACATCATCATATTTTGCATAAGTGCTTTTGAGGTTACAAATCTGATAAGCTTAGGTGGGGATGTGGATTCTTAGGCTGCCATACTGTCATATAAAATATTATCCACAGTACTTCTGGGGATTGCTTCTGAGACCCACTCAGATGGTGTGCAGAGATGCACCTATGCCTGTAGGAAAGGCGTCAGATCCTAGCCCTGGGGCACTTGGATGCTGCCTTGGGCTGGGTCTCATCCCTGCAAGAGATGCTGAGGAAAGAAGTGCAGATTTTAAGGCCTGTGGATGTCCCAGCTGCCTCTGAGCCTTACACGCAGCATCACTCTGTGCCCTTTCTGCTCAGCAATGTCAGGACCCTGTGCAGTGTCCCAGTTACACTCTGGGCCAGAGCTGTCCTTGTGCTATTGCAGAAACAATTCACTTTGTAATGGAAAGGTCAGTGACCCTGCTAACCCCGTTAACCAAATGCTCAGACTCGCATCCTGTGGCATTGCCACCCAGGTGGCAATTTCAGACCTGGACTCCTCATCTATTTCAAAGAATATGCTTTTCAGATAATTCCTTATCAACCTGAAAATTACCCTTAGGGATGCCCTGAGATGTGATCCAAGACCAGTGAAATGTGTGTCTTAAGGATTCCCATTAGTAGCTTTATTTGCAGAAATAGGACATGAGCTAATAATTTGAATGGGTAATGACACAAACTAGATTACTTTGCCTTTAGGATTGATTCTTCTGTGACCTTTTACAACTCCCTGCCTCATCTGTAACCTGGTGAACTCTTCGATTTCCTTGACACATTCAACATACTGTCATGGATTATATTTTGGGGAAAAGATTTTACCTATAAGAAACATCAAGATAATTATTTACTATTTAGTATGTGCCTGTAAAACTACCAGGCTGAAATTAAAATATGTGAGTCATTGTTTTCTCCCTTGAATCAAAGCAGACCAGAGAGATGTTTCATCGTGGTGTCTGTTACAATTCAGAGTAACCAGTAACCAAGGTAGCTCTCTTCTTGTGGGTCTGGTTATTGGAAAGAATTCCTTGTTATACTTATGTTTTGGTTATATGTCACTTTCCTTCCCTTGCTTGATAGGATGGCATCAGAAAACAAAACTGGGAAAATCTACTGGTGTTACTTTATTTCATTCACTGTCTATTTTGAGAGGTTATTTTTACATATTTTGGCATTTCTAAATATTTAGAGCTATTATTAAAACTGTTCAACTGTCAAAAACTTATGAAGCTGTGAAGCCTGGAAATGACAAAATTAACTAGTAATAAAAAACTTCTGACATGTAGCCTAAGGAATTAATTGGAGAGTTGCTATCACACAGCTTTTAAAAATAGAAGTATTCTACCCACAAGAATATTCAGAAATGTAGTTGACAGGATCTGAAACGTACTTGATTGGATCCTAATTTCATCACTTAAGTTGTTTTTATATTTTTAGGCCATGTTTTTTCCAGGGCTTTGTACATTTATAGTGGATATGATACATGCCTTCTCCTCACAGACCTCCTTTGGAAGCCACTTTGATGTTAATCAATTAAGTCTTTCTGAGACAAGAATGAACAAAGAACTTTCACATTAGAGGAAAAAAAATATATTGTGACTTTTAACATAATTGTAAAAATAAAGCATAGAAGAAACAAATTTCTGAGCAGAGAGAACTGGAAACCTACTGTTTTGGAAAACTGTAGTGGCTCTTGCTGCTAATACCAACCATCAGCGTTTGTGATGCACGTGGGGCTTTGGTGATCTGCCAGAAAATGATAAACTCTCTTTTTTAGCCAACCCATGCTTTCAGACAGGCACTGGTGAAAACTGTTACAAAGGGAAACTGTTATAAAGGGAAGAAAGCTGGGGAGGTCTCCGGGCGTCTGTTGGGCTCACACACACACTGCAGCAATTTAGAGCAGGATTTGATGGTTACCTTCCTGCCAAGACTTCTTAACTCCTAGCTGTGCTTATCCTGACCAGGGGTGTGGACCCTGGGAATCCTCTTCTGGAGGTTGTTTTCCTTTGTTCTTGTAGGCAGGACATGGCACTTGAGAGCTGATCTATTCTTCTCCCCTCCCGCTAAGGCAGATTTGCTAAATTTGTAATAATTTACATATCATTTTTGGTGGATTTATCTCCTAATTCTCTTCAAGTGAAAACTAATTTTGGGTCTCTTGTTTCATCCTTTCACTGAAAAATCAGCATTAAAATCAGTATTATCAGTATTAAAACTGTGTGTGCAAACTTCAATAATCTTCCCTAATTTTTGCATGTAAACATCAATGCAAATATCCTGTTATCAGTGTTATTTAAAATTCATCAGGCAGCTGTTCACTCACTGTTAATAATTCTCCTCTTTATTGTTGCAAAAATAGCATTAAGATACAACTTTTAAAATAGAAGGTTTTAAATGTCAACTATTTAAGTAAAAGTTGAAAAGTATCTTACTTTAAGAACTTCAAATAAATACTTTGTATTAAAGAAAATGGAAGGATGATTAAAGTAGACAAATTTCACTTTTCCCAATTTCATATCCTGTCTCATGTCTAAATTCCTTTGTTCTAGGAAGAGCAAAGTATGTTAGCAATGGAAGAGGAAGGGACTGTTCAGTTACCACTAGAAGGACATTACAGGTAAAATATACCTTTCCTCTTTTAGGGGAGTTGCAATTAAATAAAGTAAACATGCCACGATATTTATTCATAATGCTTACTGAATATCAGGAGGATGTTTGTTTGGTATGGATAGGTGAACTGAACCACACACTGCAGCATTTAACAAGGTCAGCCCTTTTCTAGTCTTTCCACACGATCTCACTTACCCTAGGAAAAAGACACACTATTTGGAAGTTTTCCATTGGACAGGACTGCAGGATCAGACTGTTCACAATGAACTTTGGCTTCTGATATGCACAGTGCAAAAGCATGCAGAGAAGGTCAAACCCTTCACCCTGATGCAAGCAGGGATCCAGGAAAGATTTTGAAAACGCTGCAGAAAAACTAGGTTCTTACAGTATTACATTGTAAAACATTCTGATTAAATCCTGTTATGTAAGATAATGAGTGAATCAAGAGCTCTCCTGGGTAGATAAAGCATAATGCAGGGTTGACACAACTAAAAAAGCGTGAACATCTATGTTATAGATAGTTACAATACATGTTGCCAGCCCATAAGGAATTAATATAATTTAAAGTTTTCAGAAATAAATTCTTAATCAAAGATTTGAAATATCTGGTGACAGCAACCTCTGCATGAATGTGAGGTCATAGGAACATCATCTTAGAGTGGCCTTCTCCCTAACATTTTAACATAAAGTTACTGTAACCTCTCCTAATGCAAATCAGGACATTTGTAACAGTGTCTCTAAAAAATCCCAGCCTATTCCTTTTGACTCATCACACTACTAATGGTCTGGTTCTTTTCTTGTTTTGTCCATACCTTCTTGTTGTAATTTATATTAGCAATATGTAGCTTAATTTATCTTGCAATGTGATCTCTATCGATCTCCACGGTGTGTTGACATTGGTAGAGTTGCCTGGGTAATACCTGACTCTCTGTACTGTAAGGGTTGCAGACCTGTAGCTAAAAACAAGTCAAGATATTGGTGATTAAAGGGGTTCCCCAAAACACACAACAGCAAGTTTACTGAGGGCTTACTGAATGCCAAGTATATGTAACCATGAAGTCAGGAATAATGTACAGGCAACCCCTTAAAATGTTTAAGACTTTATTATTCTTATGTGTATAATACATGTTTGGAGCAGTCCTGGTAAAGCAAAGAGCATAATGGCTACAAAGTGCTACTTAAGGCTACTGATTAGTTTGTTTCATTGGGACATTTTTATTAGCTATCTTAAATATTTTATTTTGTTAAGGCTTTTGATTGCTTTAAAAATAGTTTTAAAAGTAGGTAGAGTTTCAGAGCATTAGAAGGACCTTTTGGGATCATGTTTAATCCAGTGATGCCACCAACATGCTCTAAGATCTTGGGCAATATTTAATTTCACACTTCTTCATTTTTCTCTTATTTGTTAGTTGGGAGTGACACAATAAATTTTATTGATGTTATTGTGATTAATTGTTGTTGGAGGAAGAAAATACTTAAAAAGTGCTAAGATGTTCTGAGAGAGTATTTAAATAATTGTTCAGGACTTCTGAACTTTAACATAGTCTCTTAACTTACACTGCACTTAATTATTGTCATCACTACCAGTTTTCAAGGAATTTTATTGAGTTAATAAGTAACAAGACTGATTGCTGATTGTTTTATTGTGTATTTACTTTCATTCTTGTCTAGAGATGACCCATCTGTGATAAACATTTCTGATGAAATGGCAAAAACTGCTGTGTGGAAGACATTGTTGATATCCTCAGAGAATGCAAAAGATAAGGAGTCAAGCTTTCCTTCTAAAAGGTCTTAATATTTTTTAACTTCATTACATTTTATATATTGTTGTCAAACCAATATTAGAATATTTTGCTAGGGATTAGAAAGATTTTTAGCATTTTGCAGTTTTATTTCTTATGTCCAGTCGTAATATTCTGAGCTCAAAACACAAATTCACTATTTATTTAAAAACATAAATCACAAATATTTGCATGGTACTTAGTTATGCTCCAGTGGAAAATGAAGCTGAGCATGCCTGATGCTTGTGTAATGAACCAGCAGCCTCCACCTGGATATTGCATTTGTTCTGCTTGCTTTTGTTCTTTCCTCTTGAAGAAGAAGTGATCATCACTGCCCTGGAAATAGCTGTATGAAGAACCAGTACTCTGAATGCAATCTAATAATATTTGGAGTGAAAATAATTTTATGATTGCATCATTTCTTTACATTTTTTCTGCCTACTTCACTTGTACTCAAAACAGTTAAATAATTTTAGATTTTAGTCCAGTAAAATGAAGACACATTATTTTGTCTGTGCTCTACAGAGTTACGACAGGAATAAGAAAATATTACATTCAAGCACAGTGTGATTTTCTAAGAGAATTTTTTCCTCTGCTTCCATAAATTTAAAATGTAACTATTTTCTATTTAATTGTTTTGTATCACACTTCTGTCATAAGCTCCCCTTCCTAATCACTATAGAAGCTGATTCCCCAAAGGTAAGACCCTGACCCCAACCTTTTTTTTTTCCTTGATTGTGTCTTCCAATTCAAAATGGTGTCACCTTGGAACCCAAATGAGTTTACTTTGTGTAGTTTTTGGGGAGACAGGACGAGAAGAAATTTCAAATAAGAATGTAAAACGTCTTCATTAAAGTCCCAAATATTAGAATTTGAAATTTACTCTGTATTTTAAATAGTGTATTTAAATAGTGTAGTGTATTCAAATGTCAAACTGAATTTGTTCCTAGTCATCTTTTCTAAAATACAGAATTGTGTGCTGCCCATTTCTAAATATCCTTTCCAAAAGCCCATGTTTGAAACAGCTAGTTATTGTTTCAAGGTGAACAGATGCAGTAAGAGAACACTTGTACTGATAGTGTTTTTTAATTTTGTCACCCCAAAATGGCATGCTGCCTTTCAGAGTTGTTCCTTTCCCTGTACTGCATAAACGAGACTGAGCAGCTGATGACCAGAGAAATTTCATTTCAAACACCCGTGGGGCAGACCACTAATGTGGTCATTTTGATATCTCACTGAGACTCAAAATAGCCTGGTTCTCGTTTGCCTTCCACCCTACACATGGACTGAAAAGGATCCTGTCACTGAAATCAGCATGGGGCACGGGAGGAGCATGTACTGGAGGGTTTTCTTGTCAAGTACCTCTGCTGTCCAGGCTGTGAAAGCCTGGAGGAAGAGAAGAACCTGATGTGGCACATTCACAGCCCCTGGGTATACAAGGGCTGCAATTTTCCTGGTGGATGTTGCTTTCTTCGGTGGTATGATAAATGATGTGAACATGACCCTCTGAACAAAGAGCATCCACAGAGATTGTGGCTCAGATAAGAGATTTGCCCTTTAAACTGCAGTGAAATAGAAACTAATTTTCTAAAGGTCTCCTTTTCAATCTCTTCTTGTATCTTTGCTCTTGAAAACTAAGACTCTGGAGAAAAGATTTTTCTGGTTTTAGATATGAGTGTTCTGTTGTAAACAAACAGCCTTAAAGACTCTGAAATCCTGCATTTTCAGGTGCTCTACCTTGTCTCAGATTCTGAGAGAGGTGTAGATTCAAAGAGCTTGAACCCTGAAAGACTTTCTTTCTGATAAGCAAAGCATAAGCAACTTTAATCTTAAGTCATATTAGGGATAGAACTACAAAAATATTATAAAACATAATGCATGTATCATTAAATGAGGATATAATTCAATCCTAGGTAATTAGTAAGGAATGGTAAGCTTGGAATGGTAGCTTGGTAATGGTAGCAGTTGTAAGGATAATTTTTGCAGTATTAGATGAACAATTTCTGCAGTGAAGGGTACCTTATCGTAGAGGGGAAAAAAAATTCATTTTGAAATAAATTTTACTGATGCCTTGTGAAGTTCAACTACATAACATTTAGTACTCCCTTTCTGCTGTCAGTTCTGCTTCCTTATATCTCAAAATATTATTAAATGGGGATAATTAAATTATGATAGTATACTATGATTTTATGTAACGCCTTTTATGCAAGGCATTGGCCAATTAACAAGTTACTCAGTAATTAAATACTGAGTTGACTTGCCCAATTATAAACTAAGATCATCTACAAAAAGAGATTTTAGACAGGAAGGGTTTATACAAATGACTTCCCAGTCTGATGCATGGATAATTTCTATCACAAGATGTGCCCTGGCCTTGATTCTGTGAAGTAGCATAATGTGAGAGAGCTCTTACATCCCAGGCTCCTGAATGTCTTTACCTGTCCAAAGAGTGGACTTAAAAAGGATGCAGTCAAGTTGCCTAGCTGTAGAGGCACCTGAACTTTACAATTTTCCAACCTTCCTTTTTTTATTATTAAAATTCCCAGGGACCTAAAGGTCTGCCTTTGAGCCTTTCTTGGTAGAACGGAACACCAAGGCACCTATCTGAAGCACAGCTCTCTTTGGTACATGTAAATAAACATTCCTCTGTCTTTGCTCAAAGTATTAAGCCCTTCAGAGAGCAATTTCAAAGCACATGCAGATCTGACTATGGACAGGAGACAGACTTAGCTGGTCTTTTAAAGTATTGGAGAAAGAGGCATCTGTCACTTTGTAGATGATATGAGTGAGTTTTCTTTTCGACCTGAAGGTATGAAAATCCCACATCCCAGACCTTCCTGCTCAGGTGTTTTAGGCTACTCCCTTGGTAGGGAGGAAGAGAGCTTCAACTCCTTTACAGATCCACCAGTGACTTGTTTTACTGGAAAAAGACTGGACTTGTCCTTTTTTTTTCAAATTTCTCAAGGCATTAAAGCCCACATCTGCAGGAGCTGCTCAGAGATGTGAATCCTAAATAGAAGACTTTCCTGGTATCACAGAGGCACCTAAAACGTGGAAATATTATAGACTGTAAGGCACACAACACCTCAGTGTTTGCTTTTACTAAGCACAGGTAACTCCCTGCCTGCTGTACTGCTGCACTTTCAATTCACCCCCCCCTGGAATTTGTTTGCATACCCTTTGTGTGCAGGAAGTGTAACGTACCCAATTCTATCACTGTTCTACAGAAGGTGACAGATTTGGCAGTTGAAGTGGCAGAAGTTGGTATTCTTTAGCTATTTCCATTAACACCTCTGGAAGCTGCCATAGGCATAGAAGTAAGCTTTGGCTGAAGTGAATTGTATCCTTAAAGCAATTTTTATGTGAAGAAAAATGTCAAATGATTGTAGAATTGTGCATGAATCACCTTAAAAATTTGAGAATTGATCTTGCTTTCTTTAAGCCTTGCGTAACTCAGCCTATTTCTCATTCATTCTAGTTAAGGAATTATTCCCATGAAACCTGGTAGGTTACGTGCTTGCTACAGGTTTGTTCTCAGAACCATCTGGTTTTCTTTAGATACCCTGCCACTCTTTGTTGAAGGCTTGATTTGCCTGTGTTGTGGAAGCCTCTTTGTATTTTCATACTGTGATTGAGACTCATTGGAAGAACATGACTTTTTATTTATTTATGCTGTTGTAAATTAGGACACGCACACAAAAAATCATCTGCTTTGCACGTACATTGCTTTCTATAGGCAAATCAACATTGTTTTAACTGGGGGAAAAAAAAAGGCTGAATCCAAATTGGAACTCTGGTTTAGTGTTCTGAATGAAATGGCTTGTGTCTGATCTTTCAGGCTTTTTTTTTTTTTAATTTAAATTTATTTCCTTCTAAAGTATACATGAGGAAGTATGTATTACACTCCACATGGGGAATATTGTCTCTCCCCATCCTCACCAGACTTCTGCTCTCCCCAGTCAAGACTGAAAGCCAAATATTTGTTGGATATTGGCTTACATTACTCAAGTTCAGAAACATTCCTTCTAAATGTACAGTTGAACAAGAGAGTACATTTTAAAGACAAGAAATACTTACTGTGACCTCGTTTGCTCCATTTAAGAATGTGCTGGTATTGTCTGAGAACTGTACCATTACCATTATTTAGTAAATTAAGTTGTATTTGCCAAAAAAGAAAAAAATAAGTGGCTATCTTTGCTTGCATGCTGGCTGTCTGTACATCTTAAGTTCTTTACCTACCTTGTCACTAAAATGCTGCCTGATGTCTTCCACACCATTCAGCACAGAAATTTTCACTTGCTTTCCCAGTTTGTGCCATGAAGCATGAAAAATAAAGTATCTGTGCAATGCTGGTTTTCAGGTAGATTTTATATATATATATATATATAAAGTTGTGTGTGTGATAGGGCTACCATAACTCTATTTTTTTTTTTGTTTCCCCTTTCATTTCCTAGTGCTGAAATCAGAAAAGAGAAGAAAGCTGACTCAGGGAAAGGTGTTGACCGGGAGACTTGTCTATGACTTGCTCTTCAAGTAACTTTTTTACAAACGAATTAAAGGAGTGCCACAACCACTAAATATAAATTATTTACCTTGTAACTTTTGTCTTTCATCTCAAACTAGCACAGGTAATGTAGTGCAATACTTGTCTCATTCCACCTTGTCTACCTTGTCTAGTATCAATGTAAATGTCTGCAGTAGCCAATGCAAAAAATCTTTGTGTTCGTTGCTGATCTTGGCCATTTATCAGTACTTGTATCGGAAATGTAAGAAGCAAATTTTCTTTCAAATTCAACTTTCCTGTTAATAGGTTTGTACTGTATTTTGCTACTTTTTCTGTGTGAGAATACTTAATAATCTTGATTCAAGATGAACTTGAAAACCCTTGTTCCAATTTTTTTTTAAATCACCTAACTAGTAAATGATTTCAAGAGTCCCAAACTGACAAGCAAACATTAAAAAGTTTATAAAATAACAACTGATCTGACCCTGTGAATAAACTAACAAGGATAATACTTTCCTCCTTAATCTGTCCATTTGAAGTCATGGATTCAGTTTTGCAATGTGAATTGCAGGGTCAGATTCTGTATTTGTGAAGTTTTCCTTGATTTAATACAGTGTATTTAATATTAAAATTTGTATGTAACTGGAACATAGTCCTATATATATATAAATATATATATATATATATAAATTATATATTAAAGCATTTTCTCACCTTAGCTAACACCACCACATCCTTTGATGTGAAACATGGGTACAGTATTTCTTAAAATGCGATTTGTGATTATGGTATCTTATCTTGTATTGTATGAATGTTGCCATGGTGGGCCAAACAAATGCATTTTGTCATTAATCAATCCATTATTTTATAACAGGGAAAATTTTGTAGATACAAATTATACCCCACATGCAGTTTTACCACCTTCCCAATGATCTTCCTCTTTATTGCCTAAAATTCAGCCACATAAAGGACGTATTTATATTGTCTTCTCTCCACTAACAACTGTAAACCTCTTCATTTCAGAGATTGTGTATAATAATTAAATGGGTATCCTGCTGTTGTTTTGTTACAGCTCTTTATTATTCCATCAAATACATACTGATTAAAAGATAAAAACAACATTGCAAAGTAAAATGTGGCTTTAAGGATATTACATTTTTTGTAATGGATTTTGTTACTGCCTGATCCTTCAAGCTGTTCTTTTGTGTAAAAGACTGAGAGATTAGGTATTGAATGAATAGGGATGTGGAGCTGAAGTTTTATTGTGTTATTTGGAATTCATTGATTTTTAAATTTTTTAAGATAAATTTTTAAATTATTAAAATGAAAGCTAACTCTCAGTATTATGCTGTAACTTTGAATCCTAAAAATAAGAATTGTAGTCTTGCAATCTTTGTAAGAACTCATCCATAGGGCTCTAACATTCCCCAGCTTTCCCAAATGCGCAAATTTTCTATACACCTTGTGAACAAGTTTTCCCATTCAGCACATTTAAAATATTCCAATGTTTTCGTGTATGTGAGTGTGTATGTTTTAATACTTTAGCCATAAATAATTGCATTTTGCTGCAAACTTAATAGGGTCACTGTTCTAAATTTACCTTAGCATTATCAAAGCCCATTAAAAGCCATTTTTATGGAGAAAAAAAAAATTCTAATGGATGCAAAGAAGGATTCACATCTAATTCAATGTTTTGTATATGTAAATTTAGGAAAAAAAACTCTGATGCATCAAGGTTAAATGCTTTGTTTTGTGTACTTGATGATAAATTGTAAGATTCCAATTGTTTTAAGGTTAGTATAGAAGCTCAATACTGGTTTGTCCTGAAAGCAGCCTGATGGTGTTTTAACATGTTGCTGACTTTGTTACAGATAATGTATACAATCAAAATGTATTAGCTTCACTTGACCAACTCTTAGAATATTAAGAAATCAGTGTATTCAATGGCATTCTGTATTTCTGTTCAGTATTTCAGAGTGGTATTATTTTAAAACACTCTGGTTTTGCGTGAATTTAAGTGCTTTTCCAATGTTAATCTTAACGTTCTGAAATCACACACAATGTAAAGCAGATGTAGTGCTATATTTACTTCTAATTTCATATTCCTGGTCAAAATTACTCAACTTCTTGGATGTAATTTATTACAAAAGTTTATGTGTACATGTGAATAGACTATTGTGTTTTTCACAATTGAGATATGTTATGTGAAAATAAATATTTATCCTAACTAATTTTCAATTTGATTTTTATACTGCAAAACCCAGAAGAGGTTTGCAATACCATGTGATATTTGAAATGTCTACCTGACCTGAACGGGCTTCACAAATTAATGAGTGGTAGAGCCCAGCATGGCTCCCTTTTCAAGTGGAATCTCACTGAAACATGCAAGGCTGTGAGTGCTGCTCCCTGGGTGGAGCCGGTGGTGATGTACTTGGTCTGACCTTAACAGTAAGTGTGACACCAGGGACAGCTCAGAGCTCATTGTTCCAGGAAGAGAAGGGGAATGAAGCTCCAGTTTACTACTCATGAATTGGTCCCCCTTTTCCTGAGAGAGATGATGGGGACAAAGCAGGAGTAGTTGGATCTTTTTAGAGATCAAAAGGTAAGGTCATACAAGTTAAAATGTTTCTGCTCTTCTCAGAACCCTAAATTTCTGCTACTGAAAAACCTTAAGGCCATGAATTGCAATACTATGTACAGTATTGACTCCATCCCTTTTGAGCTTCTTCACGAATTATTAAACCAAAGACTAGAAGTCTCGTAGCCTAAGAATGGTAACAGTGACAACTCAAGCTTCCGCTGCTTCCGTTAGGATTTTACACGAAGTGTATTGTACTACAAACTTAAACATCCATTTCACATAGGAAAAAAAATACAGAGAAAACCCATAACTGGTAGATGTGCAACTAACTAGCACATTGCATTAATTCAGGCACAACTGATTTCTAACTTTGGGCATTAATGAAATGAGCTAGATATTTTCTGTGGCTCAGTTTTAGTTATTTACCTGTCCTCATGCAGTTCAAGCAAGTTGTCAGTTCCCTGAGGCAGCTCTACCATCCTCTTGCCTGCATTATTTTTGGAGCTGAGGGAGTTCTACCACAGTGAAAAATGAGACACTGAATTTATGTTAATTAGAACACTTACTATAGCAATGAAATTATCTTTAGTTTTAAAAGTTGTATCATTGTCTTTTACCAGCATACCTTAGAAGTTGCTTTCCAGACAAAGTAAGATAATTAGCATTGCATTATGTAATGCCTTGCAGATAAGGCAGTTAAAAGGGGATGATGTATTGAGAGTAGAGTTTCCCAGTGAGATGCTAGAATCAGATGCTAGAACACAGGTCAGATGCAAAGAATTGCATCTTAATGAAAGACTTAGACCATATATTTTCTAGTTTCACTTATTTTTTTATATGTTTCTTTGATTATACTAATTCTTGCACTTATCTAAGGAGAGCCTCGTGAAAGAAGTTTTTTGGATTACAGAAACACTTTTTGTTTGTTTTTATGACAGTGTGAGTGATAACATTAAAAGAAATCCTAACTATTTACCCTTGCATACACAAGCCATATCATAATGATAATCTTTTTTTGTAATCTGTCTGTATTGCTGGGATCTACCTTATACTGACATAGGTTTCTTTGCCTTGAGTCAAAAGAATGAGAGATGTGATGATAAAACCTCCTCGAGATAACTGACAGCCTGTAAGGCTGTAGAACTTCAACCGTGGTGCCAGTCTACAATAGAGCCACTACTCCCTTAAACCCAAGATGGTATTTGTAAAACCCAGCTCCAGTCTGTTTCAAAAAAATGCCAACAAACAGAACAAAACTGCCCATCTTATTTTGTGAGTCAAGGAATTGTGAAAACAAAATCTGATTTTCCATTTGAGACTTTCTCATTTAAGGACAAGCTGCACAAAGTGTCTTAACATTCTTCCCCATGCTTTATCTGTCTGCATGAGTACTTTTACATTCACACCTAATGTCACTAATAACCCACAATACAGACATAATCAGATGCTGGCATGTAATACCAAGAAGCTAAGTGTTAGATAATCATGTCACACTCCATTACATGATACCGTTACACAAAATCAGAAGCTTCACTGTAAGTCATCCTCAAAATTAACAGGGATTTAAAAATATTCTAGTGTTCTTTTTCTGAAGCAACATTTCCAAGCATATGGACTACACCTCCTTTCATAAATTAATGTCTTTATTATTTTAAAGCAGCACAATTTTTAGTACAAGTGGATTGTATTTTTTCTATGTGAAATTAAGAAAATTAATCCTCAGATGAGATGGAGAAGCCTACCTGGAGTGCTGTAAAGAAAGCAGATATTTATTGGTAGGCTGTAAGGTTTTGCTAAAGAGCATGTTCACAGGAGAGTGACTGCTAGTTCGCATTGTAATGTTTTATGTTTCAGTGTAAGAATCAGTTCCTATTCATCACAACATGAGCAACTTCTACATTAAAAAAATGGGGTTCTTGTTCCCAGAGGAGATTTTGCAGTGCACATTCCCAGTGAAGCAGCTATTTTTACTATAAAATAAGCAAAAATCACAGTACTATATGATAGCACACAAAAAAATCCAGTGACACTGGTTTGACTAGGTATCATTCAGAATCTTTGGTGAAAGCTGGTTTTGTGCTTGCCTTGCAAGAGTTCTACAACTGTAATACAAGGGATTGGAGAGAAAACACTTACTTCAGAAACTGCAGTATAAAGTATTTCATTCTGCACATATTAACATCACAGTATTCCTGATACTCATTCTAAAATAATAATTATCAAGCCTTACGAATTTCTGCAAAAATGTTTCAAATGTTTCTTCATTATTTTCACAGAAATTACCCCAGGGTTAATTTAATTTTTGATGGAAACATTATTATATTTTTATTCTGTGACTGATTGCCATGTGACATTTTTATCATTCCTTTCTCTAATATACAAACTGGATTGTTTCTCTTTTAGACTGAAATATCAAAAGGTAATTACTCAAGCAAGTACCATGGTTCCTAGAAGTCTGCAACATCATTCTGGTGATGTTAAGACCCGATTAAACACAATCAATAAAAATGCAATAGTTGCTTGGCAACAGGAATCATTACAAAGATTAGCATTTCACTGTGTACACCGGTATCCCAAGAGCTGATTCTTATCTCATCTTGATTTATACTGGCTCAGAGTACATTATCATGAGAGTTTTCTGTAGAAGTACCATCAGTAACAAGCAAAATGCTGGTGCTAGTGCAGTGAGAAACACTGCTTTATGAAGTGGCTCATATGGGTATAAATATGCTTATGTGCTTGACCGGAGATGGAATGGTCTTTGTCAGTGTACCACTGTGTGAAAGAGAAATATAGAGAATGTTAGTTGCAGCTACATCTAAATGATAGAAATCAAACATGACAGACATAAAAACCTGTGCAGCCATTTAAAATGATCCTAGCATGAGGCTTTCCGCATGGAGCCAAAGACATGACAGGGTAGGAAGCTGCTTTGACACTTAAGCTCCTTCTTTGCATGTGAGACATGCTCTGTTTTTATGCTGAAGGTGTAAAAACAACATGTGGCTTGTCCACATGAAAGGTAGATTCAGCTGTTTAGTTACAAGGGGTGCCTGACCTCTCCCTCTGTATGTCCTGTGAGTTTGGCTGAAAGAAAACCATGCACTTGGCCTCCTTCTATACATCATCATTTCTAGCCCTGCTCCTCTGCTGAGAGAATGTAGGAAAGAAAAGGCTTGCTCCCTAGTCTGAGAACTTCCATGCACAACATAAGAAAGGGCAAATAACTGCTTGTCTTACAAGTACAGTAAACACCAGACGGGATGGAAAGGCTATCTGGGATTTTGCTGAAGCCAACCTTTCCTTTTATCCTATCTGTAAGACACTATCCATTGCACTTGGGTATATGCAAAGGTTGGGACTGGCTATTTGTTTGAGAACATAAAAACTTAAAGAAAATGAAAGATTAGGTAAAAAGGATCAAATATGAGATAGTGTTGCTTGACAGTTTTTCTTGTGCAGAAATAAAATACATGCTTTATGTTCACATTTCAGTTACTGAACATGAAATGCAACTATATGAACTTTCATTTAAGAAGGCAATGAATTTATACCTTACCACAGGGAGCTTATGTTATTATTCTCATTTGTATAATAATAAACAAACCAGAACCATACCATTGCCTGAAAATCCACTTCAGCATCAACAAGAGCTTTGGAAATCTGTGCTGCTTGCTGAAAGTGAACATTATCTGAAAAGTGGAAGAGGAAAAAGGTAAACAAAAACTGCTTCTGTAATACTCTGGGGGAATCAAAGCAATATACACACTAGACTCCCCAGCACTGCTGACTGAAACACAGATTAGTTGCAAAAATCGGTATTATTTTATTGACGCAAATGTAACAGCCTTGCCCCTTCATGCTTTTGTTTTGTCAGTAGTAGAATTGCGAACCTGTCTGTAATACTAAAATGTCTAATTAACTGCAACTCACCATCTGCTGTTCCATGAATAAGGAGATATTCAACTTCCTTGAATTTTTCAGCTCTGGCCATTACTGTTGAACTCTAAAATTAAAGGAAAAAAAAGAAAAAAAAGCTGCTATTTATTAGGGTATGACTTGCTACCAACTGAATTTGATTCGTGTTGACACTGTCTGGGGTCCTTCAGCTCAAAGCAAGCACAGCCCTGCTTACCCCCCTCTGAAGTGCCATGGGACACGGTCACACATCCAGGGCTGGATGCCCACACTCAAACCCCCCGCGCCTGCCTGCGACTGTACCAAGGCTGTGGCTGCCAAGGAGCAGGCAGCTGCAGAGGGGAAGAGCTCTGCAGTGAGGTTCACATTCAATCCATGGCCAGCATGGTGGTAGCCTGCAGCACTCTGTGTGCCATAGGTTTCCTGTTTGACTGCAGACAAGTTAAAAAAAAATGTTGCCATGGCAACAGTGCACCCTGCCAGAGCAAGGAGTAGATCTTGCAGAGGCTACACATGTTATCTTCCACAAAAGGTTCACCTGCAGGTAAGGCACCAGAGCTAATACTGCCTCAATCTCCAGAAAAAACAGGTAACAAGAAGTTTAGAAAAATGTGCTCCTGAAATGCCTCAAAGAAAATCACTAGACCAAATCTCTAAATAGAAGTCAAGCTACATTTTGGGAATGGAAACACGATACAGTGATGAAAAGATGAAATAATCAGCAACTATGATTAATCAAGAAATTTAAAACATAGTAACAACATATTCCCTAGAACATTCTAGCCCACCTGCCTTGCTACTGTGACTCAAGAATGAAGACAGTGAGGATTGCAGATAAGATTTTTAATTTGGGCAAGGAAAGGGAGTAGGATGGTGCTCTGCTATGGGCAGAGAAAGAAGAGGAACAACAGGGACAAGACATTTTAGACTTGACAGGACAACCAGTTAATGTGGCAAGAAAAAAATAGTAAAAATTATGAACAGAAGAATTTAGTGATTTGCTTTTTTTCTTCCAAATTGGTACTAAGGCTGTATCCTTGCACAAGGATTTGTATTTAGTACCCAAAAGAAGTCAAATACATTATACTACCAAGACAAGAAGTGTTCTGATTTCCTTATGTCTCTTGTACACTCATGAATCTTTAAAGCAAGTACAAATATTAAACTCCTTTTCTTGTGGCAGAATAGTGTACCAGAACCCTTCCATACATGAAATGAATTCTTTGTATGTATTCAACAAAATCTAAAAACCAAGTTCAGCAGAGAGGGCAAAAAACCCCCACCCTCCAGTCTGTAACACTGCAGTTGCCCTCTTTTGATAGTCAAAGGCTAGAGAGCACTAGAAATCCAGTATACAGAAATCCACCAAACGTGGAAGCATGACACTTTCCATTCAGATGATTTGATATCATGGAGTAAGAACACTTAGCTGTGAGTGCCAAAATATGGAGAGAGCACTTTGATGCACTGAGGAGCACTGGTAAACCAGCTGACCAAAAGAACAAATGAGAAAGAAATGGCCCAGTGAGATTAAAGACAAAAAAAACCCACCAACAACCAAAAAAAACCTCCAAACCAACCAGTGTCCACATGCAGAGGGAAAATTGACAGATCACCTTGCTAGGCTTTATTGCAGAAAAGCAATGCTGCTTTAAGTAAACCTTCTGTGAGTGGAAGCCTGATTTAAGCTACACTTCTGAGAACTTGACTTGGCAAAAGCAGTTTTAGAAAGAGGATGTCACTATTTTTCCTCTTCAGGCATTAAATAAAATAAAGTTATTTGTAAAAACACTTCAGAAAGAAGAAGCATATGAGATAGTTTCTCTGCTTTTTTATCACTGGTGATACTTCACTTGCGGTACTCACACTCAACATGAAGAGTCCCTTCCCTAAAACATGCTTTAAGGACACAGTAGCTTTGTGTCCTTAAAGAAGGTTGCAAGATAGGCAGCACTCTCAAGTAGGCAGAATTAGACAACAAAGCAACAGCAACTGAACAAACCTTAAGTGGACAGCCAAAAAAATGCAACTATTTACCACTTGTGTTTTACAGTTACACTGCTAGGACAAAGGCTCTGAAAAGGTAATGTGAACAAGTACTGAGAATTAGGCCCTACTGAGTGTAACTGGCTTTTCTGAAGATCACACAGCAGTCAACATTTTATCAGCACTCCACAAACAAGTTAAGGTTTGGCTGAAATTGAAGGTCTCTCTCCCTTTAGCATATTCTCAGATAATAGAACAAATGTCAAATCAGTACAAGATGGCATATTTACAAAATTGTACCCTGTTTTGCATAACCTAATGATGCAGCAGTTCTTAAGGACTGAACATTTCAAATCTGCTAGAAAAAGATTGCCAAATCTATGACTGTTTCAAACACTTGCCAAAAGCATATCAAATTCAGAGTGAACTGCAAAATAATGTTCTCACAAGTTGAACAGTCTCTTCAGTATGCTTTACATGGCTACTGTGTCTGACCTCCAGAGCTCTGCCCTGATTCCGTCTCAAGTCTTTTGCATCAGGGATGTTTCTTCCAGGCCGCCAGATTCTCTGCCGTTCAGTCTAGGATTATATTAGGAGCACTTGCTTGCTCCTCTCTTTTACACAGCTCTAATTTTTAATAGTTTACAACTACATTAAAAGACACTGAACATACCTAATTAGCCCACTTAGGAGCGTGAGGCCTCCCTCAGACTTGACTCCTGACAAACAATATTTAACATCTCAGATTCTCTGCCTTCAATAAAGTGAAACTTAATGTCACAGAAATACAAGGCAGGATGTACCCCTCTTACCACAACTAGCTTCTTGAGTCTATATATTCAGTCATCAATAATACTCTACATGTTAGGAATGTGCCTAGCAGTGCTCATCTTCTCTAAGGAGGTCTGTACACCATCTCATTTCTTTTAAATTAGGGTGCATACCACAGTTTATGCAACTTTTCACTTTTCATGCCAGCTTTACAGAAATGCAGTAGGATAGAGAATATATGAGGCAGCACACAAACCTGACAGCACAGTGCAAGCTTTAACAGCTTCAGCTGTATGTACTAGCTTTCAGTACAGATTCCGCATTCACCTCAAAAACCATTCATTTCAGTAAACAGCTCTCATAAGTGTCAAGGGACCAGGAGGCTGGCTATTGGGACTGGGACATGGATCAAAGGGGCTGTAAGCCAGGAACATACTGGGCTGAAGTCAGTAAGGGTCTTCAGCAATAACAAAATCCCACAACACTGTCACGGAGGCTACATGAAAACCAACAAACTCACTTCTCAAGCTACCCCACCCTCCAGGTTAAAAGTAAAGTCCAAGTACTATATTATTTGGAGCTTTTAACAACAAACAGGATTTAAGTTGCATTTTCCGTTCTCTAGGAGCAGCAGCGAAGTGTGACAATCTGATCTAGGCAATTACTCCTCCTCCATCTAGCCACCATTCTCCCCAATTAGTCCTCTGAGTAACACATTTGAAACCTTTAGCTCTTTGGTACTGGCAGTTTCAACGTGGCCATTGCCAGCAATGGATACCATGCCAAGAAAATCCGACTCCTGGCTTGAAAGGATTAAACAGTCCTCTGTTGCCATCTGTGCCGTGAAGCTGGTGAGTGACTTTGTGCACCCAGAGCGTTAACGTTCGTTCTGCACAGCGACAGGAACTTGTATTTACACTGCTACCTCGCAGACCTCCTACTGTTCCCACTGCCTTAAAGAAACACATTTGGAAAAAGGCAGGCAGGAGGCTGCAGGCTGCTGGTCAGCTCCTGCTGGGCCCAGTACTCAGTGGTTAGAAGGGGGAGACAGACACAGTACCAAGCTGTCCAGGAGTCACTACCATTGTCCCCAGTCTTGACCAGAACGTCTCACATAGCCGTTGACAACACTAGAGTACTGTAAATATATGTCAAGCCACATGTTTCAGTACATATATGTCTGTATTTATATGTTTTATCATACTTGCAAATCAATGCAACAATGCCCACCCTTTTTTCTACCCATGACACTTTTTTAATGCACACAACAGTGCTATCTGTCCTCTACCCTTCTTACCAACCCAAACACAGAGAATGCTCTATCTCCTCCTCTAACATCAATGTTTGGTTCCAGTATCACCATGGCTGGACTCTTCTGTGAAACATTCCAATAACCAGGACACCAAGTACCCCTCAGATTCTTCACAGTTCTCCCACAGCCACTGTATTTTCACCTCAGCCTGAAGTTTCCCAAAACCTGACAGAATGTTTGGTTGCTCTGCCCTATGCCCAGCTACCTGTGACTTCAAAAAGACCTTGAGGCAACAAAAATCATCTGGCACATGGAAGAGCAAGTCAAACAATTGATTAATCATGGTGTAACAAGGACAAACAATCTACATGCATTTTGCTTTCAGCAGGACTAATGCAAATTCCCTCACTCCTGTGAAAACCCTGGTCATTTTAGAACAAACTTTGGACATTCTCTGTTTATGGAGATTTCAGTCCTGACACTGCTGGCTCTCTTGGTCTGCAATTTGATATGATCACAGTAGCCTACCTGTCAAAGTTTTCTAGTATTGAGGAAATTTTGCTTTCCCTCCAAAAAACCTGCAGATTCCTAAAGCAGGGAAGTTCACACAATACCCATTAAAAAATTACATTTCAGAAAGAATGGGAGTACATTTGTTTTTGTGAAAAATGTTGAAGATAAAGCATTCTTTGCTCACAAATATATAAATTTTAAAACAAATTTGTTTTATGGTGGTTAGAATAGAAGTTTTTACTGCTTGTTTTACAGTCTGCAAAGTAGTCAAATGGAAGTGAATTAAAAAAAAAAAAAAAAAAAACCAACCCAAAACACTAACACACTAAACAAACAACAGAAACCCCACACCAGTCACCAAGAGGAAGCTACTTTGTGCAAATCCAAACACATGAGACTACAGCCTCTAACAGCACAGTGCAACAGTTCTAGCAGGAAAGAAGACACAAACTTATTTCTCTGCACAGGGAAAGAACTAAAGTGTTTAAACAATATACCAGTTTAGAAATGAAACATCACACACAAAAAAAGGAGATAAAGTGATTTCTTTCTTACATTATAGTTCTTCAGATTATCATTTTCTGTAGGAAGGCCCATGTATCGCTCTGTGTATATTGAATCTGAAATTTTAAAAATCCCAAAATTAGAATCTGCTACTTAATTTTCAGTCTGTCTACCATCAATTTTCCCATCAATACAAGCAGTAACAATGCATACTGGAAATCAGGTTTTCCACAATGAGGGGTGTAGGTAACCATCGTTATTCAGAATAGTTAATCTTCTTGTTGCCATGGACACCTGAATGCTGAATATTAATATAGTACTTTGTGTCAGTGTTTCCTTATTGTTATTCTTTCAGTAATCCTAAAAAAATGACTGAAGATGTTGCAGTAAATAACTAGCATCTGAAAAAAAATCTTATCTATTTTATCTAAATATTTACTACCAAAAATCTATACTATGAAATTACAGTAGCATATTAGAATTCAGCTTGGGTGAGAAAAAAGCAAAATTGATTTTCCACATATTTTTTTGCCATGTTACCATTTTCAGATTTGCAGCTTTGTTTTAAACCATACAAACTAATGCTCTGCTGCCGTATTCTAATGTCCATTTGACTTCTCGTCAGAGTTATTGCACTAGAGATTTTTTATGCTGAATATCTATGCCTCCTTAATCCTTCATTTAAGTAAGTAAAAGTGGAATTATAGAGATCTTGATCATTAAAAAAATATTTCCTGTCATGCTGTAATATTCATGTCCAAAATATCATGAAGACGTCCCCAACAGACTACTGCTATTGCCTGGCAGCATGATCTGATCTGCTGAATTAGCTATTATACAGCCTCTGTGCTAGTTGCAAAATGATAAATTATGCCTTCTTTAGCAGTGGTTTGCCAGGGAAAGCTTTCCCTTGAATGTTTTTGGACAAATAAAAATGAGGAAAATGTTAAAACGTGTTCAGATTGTACCACCACCTATTTATAACTTTACATAATTTTTTTAATCTGGGAGGAGAGCCCCTATAACTAGCCCATTTCTAGCCTCATGCAGCTACTTGAAACCTTATGCTCAAAAGGCTTGAAGCATGTAGAGACTTGTCCACTTGATCAGGTTTTTCTCACATCAAGCTATTCTCAAGACGGATTAGATTTATAAAATCCAAATTTGACATGCTAAAAAAACCCCTGACCAACCAACCTAAGGCAATTCAAATCCTATTTTGGTACTTTTAGAGAGTAAATTACAATGCAAGTTCAAAGCTAATCCTCACAGTTCATTCTTACAAGTGAAGTTTCATTTCAAAGACACAAAACTTCAACTGCAATGGATTTCTGACACACAATACTGTGTGTCATCAAAGCAAATGTACACACATTACAGCAGTACTACCAATATTACGATGATTTTTTGTCTTCATTAATGGGTAGAGATTACCTGAAGTTATGGATGTGACTTTTTAAGATGGGAAATAATATTTAGCGAATTGGTTTAATTTCAAAATGCAGTGGCCACGAGCTCATAAAAACAGACCAAGTGGCATTTACGTGGCATCTAGTAGATAATCCGAAGTTCTGCGCTACGAATCCACACTTTGCAGCGTGTGCACTGGAAGACATATGGGAATCCTTGTAACGAGGAAGCCCTCACATACCATAATATTGCCAGCGTGACACGGGGGCAACCGCTATTCCACACTTGAACACGCCGCTTCCAGAGCCAAGCACCATGGAGGTCACATATCCCCCATAAGACTGAGAAGAAAACATTGCTGTTATTTTAGTCAGAAGGGAAAGGATGGGGCCCATCTGCTACACAGTTCATCAGGCATTTATGGGATCAGCGTTTTTCATATTAATGAACTCCATTCTGAATTTGGGTCAGATCTCAGCCAGCCTGCTCAGTCGGGGAAACAGGCACCAAACAGCGCATGGCAGCTGTGGCACTGATGAATGAGAGCTTGATGGGGAAAAAGGGCGCAAACGCTGCCCAACTGTGACTCAGCTGAGGATGACTGCGTTTGGTAGCACTGTAGGCAGCAGCAAAAGACAGGAAACGAGACACTGCTGAACCGCTGTGTCCCTTCCCGTGCTGGGGGAGTGGGTGGAAGCAGAGCTCTGGCCCACAGTGTGCTCTGATGAGTAGTTGCAACAGGGCATCCAAAAATTTCCAGCTCCCTTGGAGCAGGCCTATGGTAACTCGCTCCCTAACTCTCCCCCAAAGTGTCAGGAGCAAGACTGTGACTGGGGAGTGAAGGATCTGCTGAGTTTGTGGGAGGAACTGTGCAACAACACACCCGTTGCTGTACACAGAACATTTACTCACAGTCTAGCTTGATACACAGATGAGTAAATATCTGACACACTTGAGCATCCAGGCAGCAAGATACCTAAACACTGTCACCAGCCGCCCAAATGACTGCCCTCACAAGAGTTTGAATGGGTTATTTAGGAAAATGTGCCCACCCACATTCAAAAACAAGAGCTATTTTTGGATCTCATTCCTGTCTTAAAACCAGATTACAGGCAAAGGGAATTGCATCTTATTTCAAAGTCCTTAAATGTTTGCTCCAACTTCAATTCCTAGGTCCTTCCAATGAGATTAGCAATGTAATGCAAGCACTTAGTAATTAAGCACTGTATAAATGCCTAACCTGGCCACAGTAAAGGTATTACTGCTGAATCTATGGCAAACAAAATCCATGTACATAATGACAGGCTGACAATGAGAGGCTGACAGTCTAAAAACTCAAGATATAAAGAAAATCTGTTTGCCTACAGGTTCAATGGCCAGGATGCATAATCCCAAGATAGCTCCAAAAAGGAATGTTCTTCTACTATTCATCCTGAGGGTCATAAGGACTTAAGATGGGATTGCATCAAATCATCAATTTCTGCAGAAAGAATTTTCCTTTCATTACAGTTAGTACCATTATATGTGATTTCCTATAACAGAGATGTTTACCCCCAGAAGAAAAGCTATTAAAGACACCATATTGCCATCAAGCAATTTATTCATTAGTGCCTGTCACCTGCAGTGCCCAAATTTCAGTTAACAATTTAAATCAGCACTGCAATCACTAACACTATGTACACATTTAGCTTTGTAGCTGAGGGGGTATGTGCATGCTATTAAACTATTAAATATTTCCATCTACTGTGCCAGGTTTTAAAGATGCATCAAGTAAGAGAAATCTGGCCTCTGGTTGCAAATACCATGATAACCATCCCACACAGCTGGCTCGACTGTAATTTCACATCTTTTTTAAAATCAGTCATCCAACTGAAGAAATACTGTTGAATACATACTTGGGTGTTTTTTTTTTTTTTAGTATAGATTCATACGGTACACAGGAACTTGGCAGCATCCCTTTAAATTGGTTTTTAATCCCTCTAGTAGTCCTAATTTCTCTTACAGAGGCTCCTGAATGATTGCAAAAGGGCAATGTATAAATGCACTTTTAAGATGAACTTCATCAGCTCAAGTACTGGATTGTGCTGTGACCCCAGGAGTGCCTCACATGAAGCACTACAGGATCTCACAAACATGACAGCACAACAAATAGTTGTGAAAATTAAACAGTATTCCCACCAAAATTATTTGAGTACTTACCCAACCCCAAATAGCTATTCTGTCCTTATCAACAAAGCTCATTTCAGAAAACTTTCTGAAAGCAAACAAAATAATTAAACACTTAACAGACTGCAAATATCTGCCATTCTACAGACGTGCCTATTTCCTATCAAGTCTTCCTCTTTGTATTGTACAAACAAGCATTTCCCACTTCATCATAGCGACTGCACATGAAAACATATGATGATTCAGGCACGTGTGTCTTTAGGAAATTTAGAAAAACATATGTGCATATGACACTCTGAAACCCCTCAACCCATACTCACTGACATTTGTATTGTATCAGGTCAGATTTCACTACCAGCCTTGTCTTTTTTTTTTAAAGATGCACAAAAATCAAATTGCAGCAATAAGGAACAGACCAACACAGGGAAATGCAGTCACCATAAAAAAAAAAATCAAGAAGATTGTGAAATTGTTTAAACTCCTTAACATTTTAAAATCCCACATAAAAAAACCCTGTAAGATCAAGTTTCATTGCAATTCTGAGAGATCTATACTGAGACTGTTTATTTTAGTGAGGTTCTACAAGCATAAACCAAGTGACAAATGTGAACTACGATTTGAAGGCTGAGTATTTCTCATAATTCTGCGACAACAGAAACTTGCTAATGCTTGAAGTAAAACTTCCATCTCCAAGTTCCTTGGTAGCGTGTTCTTCTACTAATATGACACATATCATCTCTATAAAATCATCTCCATAAAATCAGAGATATGGTTAACTGGTATTACAGCATTAACTCTCCTCTCTTTTTAAGCATAAAATGATGGTGGGCATATAAATGACACACTGCAGTGTACGAAATTAAGCCGAATGTAGTTATTTTTTGCCGATGACAATTTGAAACCTTCACCTTTTTTCCCCTACACGATAAGCGCGTAAAAGAAGGAGCAGGTGTTGACCTTTCCCTGTAGCTCACCTGGCTGCTGCTATCTGATCTTCCACTTCATAGGTTCCCAGCCTCCGGTTTATTGCGTGCATGATTTGATCCCCCTGGTAGCCGCTGCCCCTGCCGTCGAAGCTGGCCACGATGACGCGCTCCGTGCTGGCCAGGTAAGTCGCCCAGCTGATCCGGTAGGCTTGGTCTACTTTCTGACTACAAGGTCCTGCATACCTAGGGGAAAAATGTCACAAAATTCAGGCATTTACTCCCCACATATTCTCACATCAAGCATTACTGCTGACAATTTTGGCCTTTAAAACAGGATAAACTTTCAAATTAAACCGAGGAAACAAGAAAAGCATCACTGACTGACTCCAGTGTGCCACTAAAAGCAATATGTTTTTTTGAAACTGCAGCTGTTAATCAAGAAAGCAGGCTGAATTTTTTGTTGTTGTTGTTGTTTTACTTCTTTCTGTTCTAATAAGAAACCTTCATTATTTTGACTTAAGGCAGCTTATCAGATCCTAGCCAAGTTTTCTTCTGTTTTGGCACATCTAGTCACCTAAGTTTCAAAGTAATATTCTCTATTTCTGTTCCATTCACCCATTATTTATTTGGTTTAAGTCTGAAATCAGTGAATAGCCTTCAACTGGAAAAATGAAAAATATACTTTTCTATGTCTTATCGGTCTGAACTATTTTTTATGCAGACTGAGAAAAAGGAAGCAAAACTATACTTGTAACTTTTTACTTAAAATATTTCAGAAGCACTTGATCACTATGAGTGCCTTGATGGCAAAATTCTGTGCAGTGCACTTCTCTAGCCACTGTTCAACAGAGTAAGAAATAGAAAATGGCTCCTATGGCTCTATAGCCCACTTTTATCAGTTTTATGAGCACAGAATAAACTACTGGGAATTTAATTCAAGCTATGGATCCATATACTTCCAAAGTAATTTCTGATATTGAGATCATTGTGACCCAGAGGTGATCCTGACAAAGGTCCAGGTAAGTCAATAAACATAGTATCATAACCAAAACAAGTCTTAAGAAGCCAAAAGCACTGGCTGTTCATTAAAATGTTCAATGGCACATCAAAAAGTGCTACCAAATTGCATTATATAAAGCTGCATCTAACAAGTAACAGCCAGTTTCCTTACAGAGTCACCTTTTTTGTAAAAAAGGAGTAACTTAACATTTTTCTATTAATGCATAGCTAAAATTCAGTAATTCGCATTTAGAAGAAAACATACCAAGATGAACAGAAGTGCCTGAGGAAGACCAGACCAATCAACACTTGCTCATGGGCTTTTATTTATGAAAAAAATACACAGCAAATGCAGTCCTGACCACAGGATCATATTTGACTGACAGTCAACATTGACTGACAGTCAAATATCACAGAAAACATGCAATGTCACACACACTACTTCAGCTTTAGAATACAAAGCTTATTCAAGGTTTCATTCTGGATTATGATTTCATCAAAGATTACTCCTAAGGAACATCACGAGCAGAGGAGAAGGTAAGCTAACATGAACATCCTGGCTGTTAAAACACATGGAATGTATCAGCGCCAGTGCCAGAGCATGTGCTCATTAAGCATTACATCATCTTAGGGCACAGGAATTCACCATGAACTGGGATAAACCCCTATTTTCCATTCCATCTTAAAACTACTTCAAGAAGTAATTAGAAAACATTCCAGTTTTGTGTTTCCTTATTAAGAACATTTGAAGTAGATGAAAGTGATTATTAACACAGCACTGCCATGTGGTTGAAAACTTACACATCAAGGAGCAGAGGATGCTTCTTTGATTCATCAAAATGGGGAGGCAGAATCATTTGATACCACAGGTCTAAAAGTGAAAAGAGTTTGACTTAGGTCAGCTCTCCCGTGGAATTACTTGACATGCATTACCATTCACACAAGAGAACATTTGAGCCACCCCCTAAAATTATAGAGAAGTTTAACTGGTCTGTCCTAATATATACATGTAGAAGTTCCTAGCTATTAATTTTTAAAAATATTTTACAGCTAAACTAGCAGAAAGTAATAAAATCTGGGGAATCAACATGCCGTCTCATGACATTATTCTAAGCTTACATGTGAAACTCGTTATGTCTCTACAGTAGTAAATCTAAAACAGGTTCAAAAATAAAATTTCTCTCCCAGCAGAGGAAAGAAATTCTATATTATTTTGAACCTGCCAGATAGACTTTGCTTGACAGTTTGTAAAGCATCCCAGAAACATATCCAAGTATCTATTATTTTTGAAGCAATATTGATTCCAGTTCCATTCATGTTATTCGTCCTACTGAAATTGGCTGTGAGCTGAACATTTTAAAGGCACACCCTGAAAGTTTTGCAAACTGAATGACTCAGTTGTTCACTCATGAATTTTAAGTGAACTGATGCTGCAATGCTGATGGACTGCACTGCAGTAATAGTCAGAATGCAAATCTTACAAAAATTTGCCCAGATACAAATATGCAAGGCATCAGAACACTGCAACAAAACCAAACTAAATTGAACACATTAAAATACTAATTTTAACCTTTGCATACTCTATAGTCACAGGGGTGAATTTTTTCTCTAATAACCTACATGGATTTGTGAGCAGACTGGAAGCTTTAAGTAGGACTACATAAATGGATTTGCTTCTCCTACTTTTGATATCAAAAATAGATTCCCCTTACCCAAAAGCTTTTACCCTGAAGACATGAAGTAGTAAGAACAAAGAGGAATTAAAAAAAAAAAAATGAATATACAACTGATAGCATGAAGAACATCTTTAAATCTCCATCTTGCCTGGAAGATTTCATCTTTAGCCCTAGTAAAAATGTGACAGAAATAAAAGAGAGAAAACACAAAGATAAAGAGAATTATTATATAAATAAGGTAACAGTGAAAGAAGGGAGGCATCAAAAAGAACAGTTAGCAATGACTGACCTAAGTCAATGCAGTTTGTAAAATGGAATTCCATTAAGAATATCTGCTCATTTTATCAGGAGGAAGTTTGTCATGAAGAGAAAAGCTAGTAGCAAAGGCTGGAGCAAGTACAGTTTAGACAGGTACCAGGCCTCCCACTGCTGGGCTCTTTGATGCTGCTCAGCCTAAGACCACACCAAGAACATTCCTCTACCCAAATTCTGAGGGGCACCACTCACAAGGCATTAACAGTTCATTATCTAACATTTTGTTTTGGTCTGTACTAAGGTTTATGCAGTCTCAGAGCATGAATGTGCTTTCAAGAATGATTATTCAATTGAAATCTATTCAACATATTTAACCCCCACCCTCCCCACACAAAGTCAAAAGCCATAGAGTTGAAATGTTGCTTAAATGTTTTTTCAAGATTTTTTCATTTAGACTGTGTCTACTTTTTCACAATATCTGAACTTCTCCACTCTCCCAACCTGCTAACACAAACCAAGGCGACTTGCACATGTAAATCAGAAAGACCTACTTGAATTTATAATGTAATTTAAATTCAACAATGTTAAAGAGTTTTGGGGTTGTGCCCCAACCTCATTTCTCTTATTGATTTAAAGCGCTGTTAGAGACTTCTGGTTTCTAGTTTATTATAAAGGAAAAAGGAGTTAAGCCACTTCATCATGAAAACATGAAGATACCACACTATGGAAAAGCACATTTTGGATAAGAACATTTTGGGATTTCAGAAAATAACCGAGAATATTTGGAGATGTCCAAAAAAAAATCATCTTGCCTCTAAGTTCTGAATAACTGCATGAGTTCCCATTGCACCCATCTGTCCTGTCGTGCCCCTCAGCAGAAGACCTTGAACCACTTGGTGAAAAGCAGGGGGTGGGAGGGGAAAGGTAAAAGACATTTTTGAACTTACCATATCCACCTATACTAATGGAGCCAAATTTTTTTGAAGGCATCTGAATATCTTTCAATGAATTTTCCAGTTCAGTGTTATTTTCCAAGTGTCTGAGGACTAAATAACAAAGTAAGATTCAAAGACTAAACAGATTTTTTTCAAATGCACTGCTCTTTAATTATGGACTTTAAATATTAAACCTGAGATGATGGCAACTTATATTGCAGTTTTAGTTTACTGCAGTTTTTGTTTTTCCTCTCAGATTCAACATTTACAGTATAGTTTTCCTTCAGTTCTTTTTTCCCTGTTTTTCATCTAAATATCGTTTCAGAAAAACTGAACAATTAATCAGTAAATACGTCATACACGACTTAATGTATTCTAGCCCTGTGTATAATGTTAAATAAACTCAAGCTATATAATTTATTCTTCTGGTAATTATTTGAAATAAAACTTACCCTTTATAACTGACATTTTTATTATTATACTATGCAAGGAGAAGAAAATTAGAATAAATTTAAAGTGCAATTTTCTGGCATATTATAAATTAAAGACAATCCCATACCTTCATCATCAGTGCTTCTGTGCAGGGTAGACATGGGCAGGCCAGGACCTGTTAACAGGGCACAAAACCTTCATGTTTGCATGCTGGCTTGAAACACAGCCCTCGTGAAGTAATTGGAAACGGGTGAATCATAAAAGCTCTGAACTTGTTTCCCTCCAGTCTGCTCAAGCTAAATTTTAGGTTAGCGGGGCCCAAATTCAAGCCACAGGATCCCACAGAATGTTCAGACTGACTCAAAGATGAGCCACATGACTGTGAGGCACTGAAGAACAGAATTTCCCTCTTTAGCAAAGCTCATGCCTTGCTTGTGGACAATGGTGTGGCCGTCAGGAAACCCTGACACAGGGACCACAGCAGCTGTCTTCGACCACTTTTACAGTCTGACAGAAAATCTGTCTGCTGTCTGTCCTTCCAGCCCATGGATTAAGGAAGATCTTGGCACACATTTAAATTTAAAGTAATTTTGGAGATGATTTTATTTTTCCCAGCCTTGGATGAATTTAACCCTTGTACTATGTGGCAGGAGCACTTAGAGGTCACACTCAGTCTACAGTCCCTCTGCTTACCTTATGATTACATTACTTCTTGACCAGCACTATCTTAATTTTATTCTCCTACATCAGGCACTGCTCTGTCTGTTGCTTGTCACACTTTCAGAGCCTCCAAATTCCTTCTGCAGGCAGAGCTCCCTATACATCTCTCGAGGAGATGCACAGTGGACAGGAGTGTTTTGCAGCTCTTTCAGGTCCACTGACAGATAGAACTAACAAGTTTTATCCCAGTAATTTTTGTCAAGGTACTTTTGAGCCCAGGAGGCAGTATGTTTTTCCACTGCCAATACATTTATCCAATGTTATCAACACATATCATTGTTACACAGTACATATCGAGATCCTGACGAAGTGAACTTCACCACCCAACTAATCAGTGAGTCATGTTTATGTCAATTAATTCGGGATATACTCACCGAGACAATTTAGCTGATAATACTGCGTGTCTTTGCTGAAGGACACAGAATAATACTGGCATCTTTTTTCATCCAGATTACAGCTAACACATTTAGTAAATTTTGGACTGCTTTCCAAGAGCACTCTGCAAAGTAAATGAGCTTTATCTCAGAGATTTTTTTTTAAGCTATGCTAAAGCAGTATATGCTTTTTAAGTAAGATGGCTGAATAAAAAATGTTAAAATTTGGAAGTGATAGAAACTGATTAAAAAACTAGAGAAAACAGAGTTTCAGCTTTTGAGTTCAATTAATACTGAAATTATAGTAATAGGAAAAAAAGCATGAGGGTTATTTTTAGGGTTTTTTTTGCTTGAGGATTGGTTGTTTCTTCTCACATTTCCCTTTATTAACTGAATTTACAGAAAAATATTTCCATTATTTTTGCAGTTTATACTCTTACACTGATTTTCATTAAATATCTTAAAGATTAGGCTGAACATATGAATATTTAAGTTTTCAGTGATTTTTCTTGAAGTTTCTTTTTTTCATCAACAAAAAATTTACTTATACTGCAGAAAAAAGAATTTCTTACTTATAAAGATTTCTTCCTCCTGGCATCTTATTATTTTCATTACTGATGTAGTATCTAAAAAATCAAAACATACTGGTTTTAGTAAAATATTTGTAGTATAATATTAAAAAAAATTATCTGACATGCTTAAATCAGATTTTTGGTAAGTTAAAAACCTTCTCCCTCTCCTCTCTCCACGCTTGCTTAGACCCTTGTTACCAGCCCTTATGATATGAAGAGGTACCTTATTTACAGATACTTACAAAAATTTATTGGTTACAGCTTCTATGCTGATTACTTCCCAATCTCCTGAAGTAATAGCTACTGGAACCTGGAGCAGGGGAAAAGGCAAGGCAAGAAGTAGAAGATGAAACCCCTCGATCACCAGGAGAGACACAAGCCAGCAGTGACTGTCCCAGACAATATTCCTCACCTGTGAGCCATTTATGTAATGGATGTGCTTGTAACCTGCTGTGTCGCTGAAGACTTTGTAGTAGGAAGCATTGTCGGGTGCAAAGTGAGGGACAGATGGCTGAAACTTGAACATAAGAGAGATGTCTATTAAAGCAAAAAACAAAACTCCAGATCCTAAGCGATAAATTTAGATTTTAATTTCTCTAACCAGGACTCTCAATGCTTACAACAAGGCATCAATGAATGTACTGCAAACATTTTTGCCTTCTGACTTAGTAGGTAGAACCTGTAGCCATCACTCTTAAAATAAACACACCTGAAATATTTTCCTGTCCTTAGGCAACAGAATTTCCCGAGTACTAGTCCCAGCAGTGATCCATGCCCCCCAACTCCCTCCCCCCACACAAAATATTAAGTACTTTTGGTGGTTTTAGTTTTCTACAATTTTAGGAAACAATATGTACATCTACTTTCAAAGGCACTGTTTTATTCCATCCAATGCAGCTGTAACCTATAAAAATGTAAATTCTGCAAATTCATGTTTTTCTTGAATTTCCAATTTTAAAACACATATTTGTGAACAAATTCTCTGAACTCAATTTTTTTTTAGCTTATCAGTGAAAAATGTCCTGCTCTATTAAAAAAAAACCACAAGCTGCTTTCCAAGAGGAAATTTTCCTAGCAAGTAGGTGATTACAGAATGACAGAGAACTCAAACTGGAATAATATTTTCATGAAGTAATTATCCATTTATCAATTGAGAGTGACAGAAATGAATCAATTTCTTCTATTGACTGCCATTTGAATGTGCTACATATGGTAGAAAAAAGAGAGGAATGAAATTGAGCTGAATGAAATAAAACTTATTTCTGTGACAAATGCCCAAAGGATCTAAATGCTAATTAGGCAACTGACACAATGTAGCTGCCTCGGAGATGTTACACCCATCTTGAAATGGTGAAACGAGGCTGAAGTGATTTGCCTCCGGTCATTCAGAAAGCAGTGACAGAAATTAAGTCTTTCTAACCGTGTGCTCCAAATAACTTCTCCTTGTTCCCAAGCAATATTTTTGCAAAAAGTAATCTGACAAATTTTGCTAGCTTTTCCCTTATTTTTCAAAGTGTGACTTTCCTTTAACTCAACTGGCAAGCTCTAACAGCTGATGACCTGGAAGCCTTATACAGCAATGCAGGTTTTTCTGAGCATTCTTCGTTTAAACATAATTTAATCTCTATTTAAAAAAAAAAACAAACAAACATCAAAAACCAAAAAAACCCACGCCAAATCAAAACCACCAACAAAAAACATTAAAAGGTCTCCCCCCCAAAACCCATTAAAAATATTATAGAAACAAAGAGAGGACTATGTCTCTGTATTCTACACACATAGATAATTTACTTAAATTTTTCTATACATAAGTATGTGCATACATACATCTTGCAAATGTATAAAGATATTGCTTATCAAATATCATTTTATCATCCCTAAAAAGGTGGAAAGAAAAAAAAAGGAGTAAATATACCTATCCTATCCCCTCTTTAGTCCTTCCTACTCTCTATTTCTCAAATCCAAGAATTGTACAGTGAGATTACCATTTCTTCCAACAGCTCCTAAGAAGTGGGTTGTCTCTTTAAAAGAAACAAAAAACCAACAACCTAGTTTAGTGGCACAGACTTGCATTTTGCCCTCTCATTTTGCACAACTGTTTACAAAGTCTGCAGCTTGATCATCACATTGTCTAATTGTGAAGCCTTTGCTGCAGAGAAGCAAAATGTGTCAGCGTTAAGGCCTTCCTTTCCATATCAAATTTGACAGCAGGTGGGTTGATCTCTCATCTTCATACTGCGGATGATTTCATCCCTGCTGTTGCCTCCCTCTTTGCATTTCTTTAAACTTTCATTTTTGACTTCAAAAGTGAATTAGTGACTAAAGCATAATCAGTGTGTGGAAAATGCGGGAGTGGAAAGTGTACTCTGTGTTCTCATCAAAAACTCTGAAACTCATTTCTCCCTCCAAATCTGAACTTTTGCATCTCTGCTTCACTTCCCCCAGATCTTCTGTGTAGTTCATTAGGTGCCTACTCCCTACCATGTACAAAAGGACTGAGAGGCAGCTTGGAAAGCATCATCCAGACAGTAGCGGCTGGTTTGGCAGGAGTGCATGAAAATTTTAGTCTGGCCAGTTACATTCATCTCATCCCCACTTCTCTTGAGTGGATATTTCATGCAGGGGAAAAATAAATAAATGAGTAGCCCCAATTAAAACCTGGAATGGTTTGTTGCAACCTGATACACTAAACATTACTTTTGTCCTCTATGCCTTTATTCCAATACCATTCAAAGGTTACAGAACACACTTCTAAATACATTTTATTCCCTGATCTTTCTGGAGGTAGTAGAAAAACTAGAAAGCAGGTAAACCAGAATAGCTGGCAACTCCCCAGAACAAAGGGAATTCTGAATCTGGGCTCCTGCATTTCCCCCCTACCTACTGCTACCAAAGCAGAAGGTCAGAAGCAGAAAGGAGTCTGGAAAGGCACTATGCTTTTGGTAAGCTGAAAATAAAATCATAGAATCATAGAATGGTGTGGGTTGGAAGGGACCTTGAGGTTCATCTTGTTCCAACCCCCCTGCCATGGGAAGGGAGACCTTCCAGGGTGCTCAAAGCCCCATCCAATTTGGTCTAAAACACTCGCAGAGATGGGGTATCCACAGCTTCTCTGGACAACCTGTTCCAGTGCCTCACCACCCTCCCAGGAAAGAATTGCTTTCTAACACCTAATCTGAGCCTACTCTTTCAATTTAAAGCCATAACCTCTTGTCCTGTCAACCAGATGCACGGGCCACAGAGGACATGATTAGAGCTCCAGCCATACTTCACTGTCAGCCCAGCCTGGGAGTTCAGAACCCATTACCCACAAAAAAATTAACCTTGACCCCAGGCATGGGGTGACATTTGAGATAATTTTTTCCTGTACATGAAAAACACAGCAAGTGAGAGGATTGGACCTACACACAAGAGACACTGCAAAATGCAACAGGCTCATATGAAATTTTCATAATTATCAGAATTATTTAGCATGTAGCAGTTTTAGAAATCGAATACTCACTCTGCCAATCCAGCCAGTTGTACTTTCTTCAGTAAATTGTTTTTCCTAAGAACGACAAAAACAAACAATCCCACAACAATTATGTTTATTTTACATCAGGCTTTATTTCTACAAAGATAAACATACAGATATACTCTACTCCTTTCTAGTTGCATCGACCATTTCAACTCTCCAACCTAATTTCTCTTACCTTTGGACATGACCAAGTAGCATTTTCAAAGTCACAGACTGTGAGGACTGAAAAATTCTGAATTCTTCTGAGCCACTGCAGACAAATCCTTTCATCTGTCACCCATGTTACAACACTCAAATAATGATCACTGAAAACAGCAACAACATAAGATATTTAAAATCCTCTCTATAATAGCATACCATACAATTGCATTCAGCAATTCACTGAATGAGACTCATCTGGCTATTTTCATTTCAATCTACTCTTCAACAATAAACAATGATGCAAATGTAATTGAGCCATTTTTTCATCAATTGTTTTTGCTGCTAGTAGATGCCTTGGTTATTTTCAGAGATACAATAAAGAATTAGATAGCTCATACAAACCCACTTCCAGAAAGACTGCAATTAAATTTTAACAGCTATTCTCTAATGCATAAAATAATAGCTACTCCAGGCTGTTCATAAATCTTGCACTGTGTGCATCTAGAGGAAATTCTTCTGAATATTAAGTTGTATATGCCTTAGATGAAGCAATTTTATCCTTAGCTGCCTGAAGTTGGTTGCTTGTAATTATTTTCTGAATGACAGATACTTTTGTTCAATTTAGTAGTTATTTCTTTAGTTACAGTGGAGGGAGAGATCATACCAGACTCAGATACGATTATTTGAATATTTTACTTTCATCTTCAGAATACCACCCAGCTGACATGAAGGATGAAGTATCAGAAAAAAACCCATTTTCATGAATATTCCTGTATATTAATTTTAAAAATGCACCACATAAAATTTAGTGGCTTTGTTTACCATAACGATCTGTTAGATGTACTGTCTTTTCTTATTTTAGATCTTTCCTATCTCCTTGAAGCCTTATGAACTAAAATAAAACAAACTTCCCCTCCAAGGCAAGTATACATTTTTAACCATAATTTGCACATTTGACTTAGTTCCAAGTTCATGTTCCCTTTTCCCCCAAAGTTAGTTAACAAAAATGTGTGGGAAGTTTTGTGATAAGAGTGTCTTTCTGATCACTGCAGTTTGGGGAAGGAAACACTACAATTAGTGTGGATGGATTAAAAATATGTCAGCTGGTTATCAAAAACCGTCAGATTTATTTCTAGATTATAGTTTCAAATTCATGTTTGGAAAAGTCTATTTCTGCATTTATATTTGACTGGGACGTCAGCAGGTCATTTAATTGCTACCGCCATTGAGTTTGCAGGAGTTTGTTTGTGAAAAACAAATAAAGCATCATTCTTCCTGTACCTATAATAGTGGTTTCCCTTGTTTTGTATAAGGGGGAATTAGTCCCACAATTTTCATTCCTTCAAAGTGAGAGTTGTTAACAATTCTGGTGACTATAAATCATTAATCAGAGAAGATGAACATTACAAGGAAAACAAACAAAACAAATATCATTTATCGAGCCATTACAATAACTTTCTCTCCCCTGTGAGAGTGGGAATGCACCTTCAGTACTCAACAACACACAAAAGGTTAACTAAGCTGCAATTAATTCAAATATAAAGTACAGTAGTTTTGCACTGCCCTTCCTCATTTGTTGCTGAAAAGGGATACTCTGCAACTACTCTACTGAGAAGTCAGCTTATTCTAGGATAGATAATTTCAGAGAAGAAGAATCCATTCCCGTCATCCTCCTGCTGGCTAACAGGAGCCCCCTGTACCCATGGTGCCAAAACCAGTGTGTAAATGCTGGATGGGTTTCATGCTGGTCATTCAAGCAGAGTGTCAGGTTGCAAGTACCATCACATGGCAAAGCACTGCCATTCCAGATTCTGGCAGTTTTTCTTGACAAATAAAACTCTTACTCTGCAGCATAAGTGAGCTGTGCCCCCTTCATATGTAGGGGAAAAATTGTTGCTCATCCAAGCTCTGGATAGAGCTGTAGCAGACAACCATTTGCTGAGGCACTGTCCCTCAACATCCCCAACCAGGCAGGTGGAGTGAGGTATGCCACCAACTCAAACTCAGTTTTGCTCAAAACTTAGCTCAGTGGAAGTAAAAATAGAAATTTCCATCACAAAAACTAACCTTTCCTGTCATACAGTGGTGTACATATAAATACAATGTAAATATTCAATACTTTGCAATTCCAGAAAAAAATCCAACCCAACAGCAACACTGCACATTGCTCACCTTTTCCTACTCGTGTACCTTTGCTCTTGCAAAGTTCTCCAAGACTCGTTCTGGCCACCTCAACTTTTGCAGGACACATATAGTGAGACTTGGCCATTATTTGAATCAGCCACTGGGAGAAGGAGTGAATTTTGATCCTTGAACTCATCATTCAATATTTATATTTGTATTAATCCTGACTAACTGAGTGGCAAATCATTTTTAAGATGGATGGACTCCATGTAACCCACACCTCTGTTAGCCAGATGGGTGTGAGGCTTGAAGGTAGCTGATGGTTATTCTCCTCACATCAACTTCCATGAGGTATTAACAAAAGGTAAAAAAACCCTCTAAGACAGCAAAGATCTTAATCAGTACTGAGCAAAATGTAAAGGGCTTTTAATTCTGAGGCACTGGAATTCTGGAGGAAAACAAGGCACGACAGCTATCTAACATGCAGCTATTGCAGTGTGACTGTAAGGGAAGGATAAAGAACAACATATTCATAAGAACTTGCATCTCTGTTAACACATGGATGCTACACTGAAGTGGTGAGGCTGAAACAGAACAGTACTGAATTTCCAGCTATAGCTTTTTGGCCCCCACATATAAAATGCTGGTTTTATGCATAAGCTAACAGACCTTTGTTTTTTTCTGGTTTATCAGTATAACCTGTGCTTTCATACCCATCATGTTTTTAAGTACAAACCTCTAAAACATTTCTACAATACTGTTAAAAAGAAAAAAAAAACAAAACCCAAGATTTGGGATACCAAATTGTGTGCATGCACTTTAAATTGATGTAGCTGCTCTTTACAAAATACACTTATATCATGTTGTGCATTTCCAGTGGCATTTTGAGGAATACAATTTTCCATTTACTCTGAGAGGTGCTGATTTTCACCATCTTCCCAAAGAAAACAAACATTTTAAGTATAAATCTGAAGACAACCATGATACCTTGCCTTAGCAAGGAGTCTGCTTCCAATAAAATCAAATCTTCACTTACCATTAAGGTTTTGTTTTGTTGGTTTTTTTTTTTTCTCCAGTGAAAAGAAATACATATATTATAATTTGATTATACGAAAACTTGCTCATATTAAAGTTGTACTGTGAAATGACTTCACCATAGTTAGACTCCACTGAATGTGATGAGCCAAGAACTTGTCACTTTCTGAATATAACATACATGGAATATGCCATCTATATATAATCACTAGGAGGATAATCTCTGTGCAGATTTTCTCTGGTAAATCTTGTTGCTACCAGAGCCACATTACAGGGAAAAACTGCCATATACACTGAGTACAGGGAGGTCACATATAAAAGCTCCTCCTCTCCCATCAAAAGAAACAAACAAATATCAAATATTTAACCAAAATTTCTCACCTTGATTCTATTTCTGCAGGTGGAAAAATTTCAACAGGGCGGGAAGCTGGAAGTGATGTGGTATCCACAATAAAGAATTGTACAGTTGGATTTGTAGCTCCTGCCTAAAAATAAAATTTTTCATTGTACTTTTGAAGAGAGAATATTCTTTGTGAGGTGTTTGAAATTATAGATAAGTTACTACAGACAGAAAGGTAAAATCAACCAACTGCAAACATGTGAAAAGACAAGTTCCTTAATGCAGGATTGATACATAAATTATCCTTTGTATTTTTCACACAGAAGTGTTAGGTATGCGTTTCTAGATAAAAAAGACTATTACATTAAGAAACAATCACAGAGCTTGCTGTATTTGACCAGATCTCATCCTACATGCCACACACAGTACCTAGAGAGAATCAAATCCATTGCTAACACACAGGAAAATGCTTTTCCATGGAAGCAGCACCTTACATGAACTAATCATATCACAGCTGCCTATATCCCAATCAAAGCTGTGACTGCAGCATGCACTGCACTATCTCTAATGCAATGCTGCTGACAGCAAAAGAGCTGTGTCAGTAAGGGCTGCCTCTCTTGTGGTTAACCAGCCAAGTCCTCATGGTAACAGATAGGTACCTAAACTTGATCCACCTCCAGAAGTCAGCAATATTCCAAACAAAAGGGGTTTGCAATAAAATGTGTAATTTAGATTGGCAATTCATTCTACACCTATACCTCTTCTCAGGGGCCTGCTCAGGACAGAGCATCTGCAGCTGCCAGTGACCCCTCTGGGGGAGGCTCCAAGGGCACAGGCAGAGGCCGCGTGCTCCAGGACCTTCGGGAAAGGCAGGGACTGACCACAGCTGCTGCAGAGAAAGCTGAGCTTGGCACTAAGGGGGCAATTTCTCCACCAGGCAGCTGTACCAGATGAACAATAAACTGGCTGTATCATCTGTCCTGCCCCATTAATCAAGAGTGAAAATATCTTCCTGGGATGGCCAGACCATCGTGGATTGGGGCAGGGCATGTTGATGCCTTAAGCCAACACAGAGAATAAAAACCCAGGGGTGAACAGAAAGAACTAAAATGACGGACTTGAGATGATTTCAACCCATCTATTCCTTCCCAGCAATGGGGATGCTCAGCACTGTGATGGTGAGTGTATTATGGAGGCCAACTATGAGAACATGTTTGACACTCAGCAGGGTGGTGCAATTGTTGTACTCTAAGTGTAATTGTACTTGCTTTATGTCTTAAGTGCATTGCTTAGATAAATCAAAATCCCGTATAACACCAAATAACAGGTAAGTCCTGTATTAAATATGAAACCCTCCCCACAAGGAGGAGGAACCCACAAGAGCACTCTGATTCTCACCCCATTCAGCCCAGTGCCAATTGTGCCTCGAGCAGTGGGCATAAATCACGTGGAGAGGAGGGGGAAGGAGGAGCTCCTTGCACTAAAACTTTCACTCTCACAGCTAAAACTGGAAGAGCTTAAAGAAACTCCTTTAGCAGATTCCTCCTCTTCCTCTCAATACAGGAAAATGCTAGATTAGCTGGAGATTCCATTATTAATACCATGCACAGCCCTAACCTAATGTACATCTGCCTAATGCTTTATACCAACTTAGCTTCCTGTGAGATTATTTATCTCAACATCTACTCACTACCTCTAAATTTTATAGTGAAACAACAAAACCTTAAATCATACTTTTTTTTCCCCTCTTTTTTCTTTTCCTGGAGATAATAAAATACTTTAACATTGCCAGATGCTGTTGACTTCAGAAAGAGTAATCACAGCAAGCTGTTGAGGAGAGACAGACAATATTTTCATTAGCAGGAACTGATTAAATGAGACTACTCTCTTAATGAAACTACAGAACAAACATGTTTATTAAATAACACAGACCTTGGGATATGGGATTTTAATGGTCTTTGGATACTGCAAGGTGTCTTCAGAATAAAAGGAATACTCTATAACAGGGACTTCTGTATCATTAAAGGATGCATATGCCAAAAAATTGCCATTTGGAGACCACCACAGAGCAGAATGGGTGCCAAACATTTCCTCTGAAAGAGATGCAAAAATATTTAAGTTATAATTGATAAGCCAGCTCTTTTATCCTAGGTGCTGTTCTCATTAGTTTTTAATAGGATTTTTTAAAATTGAAGTTCAGATACTAAATTGCAGACTGTTTGTTGGGGTTTTGAAATGAGACATTAGATCAATGTTTATAATCTATCATGTGAAGCTAATTCACACCAAAATTTCCACTGACACAATGCAAACTAGGCAAACTCATACATATTCTTAGATCCTCACACTAGTCAGGTATTTAGCCCAGATAAGGATGCATGTTTCTTTTAAAATACAGAGTTTGATTATTTTGAATTTTTCAGTAGTAAGGAATGAGATAACAATTGCAATAAACCAAAATTTTCACATAATAATGGAAAGTAAAACTTGCTTGATGTAGTTACCTTCATAAACCCAGTCTGGTATTCCATTGAAAATTTTATTTTCTTCTCCATTTTGAGTGATTTGCACAGCTTCTGCTGTTGGTGAAGCTTTTACATAAACATTATTATTCCAAACATATGCCTGCAAAACATCATTGTGATAACAATTACTATTACACTAAATCCTACTTCCTTTATTTCATCTACTGGGCAATTTACAAGAGATGACAAAAAACATCTTTAAAAGCTGCACTTCACTAAACAGCCTTGATACTTAACAAACTTGGAATTACTAATGCAAATACTAATACAGATCAAGGTGAGCAACATAACTTCAGGCCAAGATGGAAAAAACCAAATCAAATATGAAAAGTGACATGACTACTGTATCAAGTTTTGAAGATCTTGCAATTAATTTTCTCCCAAATACAAAGTTATTTTCCTTCATCAGGAAGGAATATTTTCTTTCAAAGAAAACTATCAGGGCTTTGGTAAAACATTCACTGGGGCCTCAGTGCTGCCAATAGGTCTGCAAAGATGGTACATTTCTTCAGCAGCACTCAGAACTCTAGTTTTTGGCACCTGCCTGCCTCCCTAATCACCCCTGGATTTCATCTCCAATAACTGAACAACACAGTTTTATTCCAGAGCCTTGCTCCAAGATGCAGAAACTCTTTTCAACTTCTTTTGCTTCTGTTGCTGGTCTTTATAATTGACATAATTTACAAATTTACTAAGCAATAAGAATAAATGAACACCACATTCTCCTGCAGCAGTCTTAATGCTCAACACAAGGAAGGCACAAGCCTTGCAAACGTGGTGGTTGGCACCATTGACATGGACTGAAGAGGAGGGGAGGAAGAAAACTGGGAAAGAGAACAAGACAGATTTTAATCCTCTAATCCCATTACATGCCTCCATCCTTCATCATTTTTTGTGTAATTAGGAGATAAAAATCACACAATAATGATTAAATAGACAGTTATAAGCTGTAGACAGACAGCTGATGTCTTTGAAAGGGATGAGCTACTGTCTGCAACTGTAAAAACACAAAGTTCCTGTGCATTTGTGCATTTCATGACTGCTGGGGCCACTAGTTACTTTCAGGAATGCATTTTCATTGAAGAACAAAACAAAACACACAGAGGAACTCTGGAATCTTTCCAGCTACAGTAGTCAATTTTGAAACTAGTTCAGCTACCTTACCTAGCAGTAGGAAAGTCCCAAAACCTCAAGGGTACAGACAACATGAGTTTCCATGTCATGTGTATGAAAATGACTCTATACAAAGTTTTATTTTTCTTTACTAACCAGTTTATGACCAACAGGTGACCAGGATATATACTGTGTATCATTAGGTAGAAGTCCATCATCTAAGATAGAACTGGAAAAACAAAAACAAAATGCAGCCAAGAGAAACTGGTGAAATGACATTTCAAGGCAAAATGAATGTTAAAACAACATTTTATGTGCAAAAATTACTGACCTGCTACTGAAATCATAGATGTGATATGAAGCTGTAAAGGAATGCCTCCACAACTGCAAAATAATTATTTAAATAGTAAGAAGATAAATTTCACCGGGTTTCACATCTCTTGCAGCTTGAATTACCCTAAAGCTCTCCTTGTGATTTTTATCAAGATAGAGAGAACACAATGAACATACAAGGCTAACAGATCCCTACGGGGTTTAAGAAAAGACTAAAGAATTTCCACTCTTCTGGGGTCATCACTTAAATACTATGACTGAGGCCATTGACTAATTAAGGACAGAGCTACAGATGCCAGAGATGCTGCAGATTTTCAGAAATCCTTGTAGCTGCATGGCAGACTATCGTCAGTGTGCAGTTAATCCTTCTCCTTGTGCTTTACTGGCTCATTTGCTGTTTCTGTCTCATTTTTCATGTTGTATTATTTAACTTGGCATCTTATTTTATAGTAGTTCTCACAAGTTCCAGCAGTATGTGTGTAGCAGTTCCTCCAGCACCAGGGTGACCTATTCCCATTCATATTGTCACAGAAATAAAACTCCTCTCTGAGAAATCTGCCTCTTGTGATCTGTATCACTCTGTGGGCACTTAACAGAGAGAAAGATGATGACGATGATAATGCACACACAACATTTAAACATGTTCACTTTGTGAGGCTGGTGAGGTTTGATTTAGCTCACAGCATTGACATGTTGCAATAATGCTCCCTTCTAAGAGGGTTCTTGGATATCTGTATGAAGATAAAAACCAACAACTTAGTACTACACAACCAGATGGCTATTACATAACAAGTGTCTACATCCTCATGATTCATTTTGTTACTCTTTCTTTGCAATAAAGATTAATAATAACAGAACTTTCAATCACACTGTTATATAAAGGTTAAAATATCTTGCTTCAGCATTAAAACAAAATTAACTCTTATGAATACAACAAATAAAATATTAGAGAGCAATAAATTAGAAGTAGAGGGGATGTGTAGAGTGGCTGGTAAATATTAGGCATTTTGTGGCCTCTAATGATGTAGTGAAGAGCCAAATAATTCTGAACAATTCAGAAAAACAAAAGATAACTTGCTTAGGAGGATCCAGCACAGAAGCTAAAATTGAAAAAAAAATGATGACTGAGTGCACAGACTGCATCTGGCACAGTTCAAGAACCACTCTGGGACTGGAAGGCCAGGACACGTAGACAGTGCTCAGTGACACAGTGCTCAGGTATTTGTACACTGCACAAGTTAGCACTGAACTTTTTACAAACAGAACTGGCACCTCTCTAGAAAAAAAGGAAAGTCAGACCAAGTCAGACCAAAGGAAAAAACGACCAAGTCAGTGGTTTCTCAGTGCACAAACGGCACAGCAAATGATCACCACCATTAGGCTTCTCAATTGGCACACAGAGCCAGGTTTCCATGCCACCTGGCATAAATGTGGGTTGACCTTTGTTGCACGGTTCAGCACCGTGCCAGGATGAGGCATTCTGCTGCAGGCTTTTCATGTGCTTGCTGACAGGAGGCAGCAGGGACACACAAGCCCACTCCAAGCACAAGCCTTCTTTGAAGCACATGCAGATTTTCATTCACCTCAGTTTTAAACTCTTACCTCCTACAACCACAATGTATAACCACATATATATATATAGCACACATATACAAGCAGATGTATACCAGCATATCTACTCATCACTTCTCCTTACCCACACAACTCCTGGGACAGCCATGCCTATCTACTCTCCTAGACTGTCTTCCCAGATAAACCATCCAGCCTTGTTCTCCTTGCAAGAACCCCACATTCACTTTTTATCCAGATGCCTTTTTTTATCTCGGGCAGTCAGCTCTCTTCTGCCAAGCTCACAGATAATATCAGTCTCTTCTCCTGCCTGCTCAACTTGACTGTTCCCTTACATTAATCACATTCATCCATCCTCCTGCATTTCCCTCACGTTCCCTCAGCCTCTCAGTTGTTCCCAAACCTTTATTTTCCAGTTTCATCCTCAGTTGTAAAGTGCACTTGTACCTTTGTATAGCTGTATTGCAGAAGAGCAAACTTTTGGTCAGGAGACAATGTAACAGTGCTTGCCTGGTACTCATCCTGTCAACAAAGGAAGGGCAAAAGAAACACATTAAGCACTGATTCCAAAGACTATGCAGTACAAAAATATGAAATCCAATACCTTTCCCAATGTCTGCCTATATCACATATAAGTCAACATACTAATGTTGTATTTGCCAGGATTACTGAGGATGTTCCGTTGTCAGCACTGATACACAGGATGTCCCCATTCTCTGTTTTGTGAAGATACTGATTTCCTAAAAGCACAAGAGAGAGAACAACAAAAAGTAAGTAGAATGCTCATCAGTTACTTCTATTTGCCCTTTATGCTTTTAAGCAGGAAATAAATCCCAAAAATCTGGTTAATGCTGTGTTTCCCAATTCTATAATGAAAGGAGGCTTATAGCACAAGAATGTTCACAAAATGTAGTCGTGGAGCCCACAGCATCCACCTCCCAGCATCTCTTTCCTTGGGGTACTAGGCATGCTTGGAAGGAAAAGCAGCCTGCATCTCCCTGGTCTCTGGCAGCCCAAAGCACAGGAAGCTGACACACCTCAGAGGGTATCATGCTTCTACCCTAAAGCACAGAAGTAAGTATGCTCTTTTAGCAGTAGGAGAATATAACTTGCCATGAACATGAGCACGTTTCTAAGGGAAACAAGGAACCAACCCTTTGAGTTATGTGCCATTCTATAATGGCACAATTAAATAATTTGACTTTTTTTCAGAAAACCGTAGTCACCTCAGCATGAGGTGACTGCAGGTGGTACATTGCTGAAGGTAGCACATTTTCTTGACATTCAAGTTGTATGTATAAATGAATTACCTGAAATCCACTCCAAATTATGTGTTTTATACTTATAGTCATTGTTCAAGTAATTCTGTAGAGTGTACGTTTTTCCTGAAGAGGTCTCTTCTGAAAGAAACAGACAGAAGAGAGATTCTGATCTTTCCTGCAAATTGTTCCACCCCAGCTTCTTAACCTGGCTACTAAGTGGAATTTTGTTGCTGGTAATTAAAGTGTTTTAGCTAACCATCTCTAAAGTAGTAGCAGTGGGAAGGCAATAAAACTTTATTGCAAAGCAAATTCAGCAAGCATAAAATAAAGGAGCGCCAGCAAGGTCACTCAACAAACTCATGGAAATGAAAATACCTTTTTGACAGTGAAAAACATTACCAGAAGACCTCTGGCTCCCTTACCTCAGCAAACATGTACTCCTCAAAAGCTGAGAAGTGATCTTTGTGCCTTTCTCCCCATGCTCACTCTAGGAAGTTCACTGCAAAGCCCTAGTTGCTAATAGCTGCAATTGTGAATCATTTGCTTTTCCTTAAGCTCAAATTTCAGAAATGCCTCAAATAAAAAAACCATAAAAATCTGAGAAGCAGTAAAATATTTAGGGATGGTCTAATAAAAAAAAAAATTAAATAACAAACACTTCCTGATAAGATTATGATGAAATAATTGATTAAATATTTATCCCTCTTTTGATGTGATTTTCACCAAGGTATCTTTAAGTTTATTTTTAGCATTACAATTTTGATGGGAAAATTAAAGCCAAGTAACTGGGTTAGTCTGAAAAGACCAAGTGAAACTTTAAATCTAGTTAAGCTAATGAGTTTGGTCATCAGCTTCAGCTGCAGCCAGCTTCTATGTAAAGTATTTTTTCTTACTGCTTGCAGTGAACAAGCCACTTTTTCCAAAGTGTGACAAGTAATAACAACAACAACTCAGTCCGTGAGTCTTTGTGATTTTTTTCCCCTGAAAACAAAGAGATTTTAAATTCTCTCCCTGCATCCTCCCTGACTTTTTTTTTTTTTTTTTTTTTTTAATGGAAACCTAAAATCTACCTTCATCTACCTGCATATAGCCTTTTACCTACAGGGTCCAGAAGGGAAGGAATTTTGATTTCAACTGGCTAAATCAAAAGACTAGAATAAAAGCAATCGATAAAAACACTCAAGTACAGACATGGTGACTGATCAACCAAGGTGCCAACCTGCCCCTATCAATCCTGAGACCCCAGTCCTTTGGATACTTTTAAACAGACTGCCTTCACTTTCCTTATGCTGAAGAAGAAAAAGACAGCAAAGTCCTTGGGGACACACACACACACAGAAAAACACCTCACAACAGTTTTTGCAGGTTCTCTTTCTGCAGGTTGGATGCCTGTGACATCTGGAACAGCACATGAAGACATTTATATCAGCTGTACAGCTTTTCTCTTATTTACAAACAGTAAGATAACTGTATATATACAGCACAGACTGTACAACTACCACTGCAAGAGATGTAGCAAACAATGATTTTAGCCTAAAATGCTCAGAAAAGGTTAAAAAATGCTTGCCCGATTCCATTTGAAATGTGACTCTTAAAAAAATTACTAGGCTGGATTTATTGCTCTTGAAGTTTCTGTGAGAATATTAATTTCTCAGGTTATTTATTTAACTGAATATTTAATTTGATGGATTATGAACAAGTGGGTATTTAATATTCATACACAGTTGTCTAGTTGGGAATATGACTTCTTCCTAATCGAGAAAGTGTCATTTTCAATCAGAGGGGCTTCAGAAAGCAACAAACTCTCTCTTGGAAAAGGAGAAGCAATTTAAGACAGGTGGCTGATGAACAGGTTTAGGGATTTTTCCAAACTGATGAATGTTTTTCTCCCTGGTGACATACATATTTTGCTAAGGTCTCATTACTAAAAATCAGGCCACTATTAAGATTTGTTGGCTATGTATAAAATTAAAATTTCATTTTCTGTCAACACCTTCCACATAGTATCTGAATATGAAAACACACGCCAAGCTGTAAGGGTACAGTCATAGAAGTTCTAGTTGAAGCATTTTCTTAATCTACAAGGTAGGCCACTACCAGTATATTCTTACTTATCCACTTTGTGCCACTGACCAAAGATATTCAACATACACTGAATTCCAAATTTTGGTTCTTATTGTTCAGATTCCATTCGAAAAGAAAGGTAAAACAGGTTTATTTTGACAGAATAAATTGCTGACATTCAAGAGCATTTTATTTGCTTTGAAGATGGTATACAGGTCAATGGACGTTTATATTTTAGCAAAACTGCTTCTTTCACTCTTAGGTTCCTCACAGAGGCTGCATTTTCTTGTTATTTTCCTTTTTCAACAATTCCACATACAGACTTATTTTTCTAACTCCAAATTATTAACTTCCAATGCTCAGTATTGGGGCCAGCTCTGTTTAATAATCTTTATCAATGCTTTGGATGAGCGGGTTGAGTTCATCCTCATTAAGTTCACAGACAACACCAGGAGTTGGAGGAGTGTTGCTCTGCTGGAGGGCAGGAGGGCTCTGCAGAGGGATCTGGACAGGCTGGATCGTTGGGCTGAGGCCAACTGCCTGAGGTTCAGCAAGTGCCAGATCCTACACCTGGGTTTCAACATCCCCAGGAAGTGCCATAGGCTGGGCAGAGTGGCTGGAAAGCTGCCCAGCAGAAAAGGACCTGGGGGTGCTGGTCAACACCAGGCTGAACACAAGGCAGCAGTGTGCCCTGGTGGCCAAGAAGGCCAATGGAATCCTGGCCTGTATGTGGAATAACATGGCCAGCAGGAACAGGGCTGTGCCTGTCCCCTTGTACTTGGCACAGGTGAGGCCACACCTCGAATGATCTGTCCAGTTCTGGGCCCCTCCATTCAAGACAGACCTGGAGGTGCTGGAATGTGTCCAGAGAAGGGCAACGGAGCTGGTAATGGGTCTGGAGTACAAGTCCTGTGAGGGGTGGCTGAGGGAGCTGGGAGTGTTCAGCCTGAGGTGAGGAGGCTCAGGGAGAATGGAATTGCTTTCTACAACTACCTGAGAGGAGGCTGTAGCCAGGTGGGGACAGGCTCTTCTCCCAGGCAGACAGTGACTGGACAAGAGGAAATAGCCTGAAGCTCTGCCAGAGAAGGTTCAGGTAGGACATCAGGAAGAATTTTTTCTCTGAAAAGGTGGTTAATCATTGGAAAGGAGTGCCCAGGAAAGTGTTGGAATCACCATCCCTGCAAATGTTTAAGAGATGACAGGATGTGCTACGTTTAGTTGATAAAGTGTTCAGTCAAAGGTTGGACTTGATGATCTTGGAGGTTTTTCCCAATCTTAATGATTCTATGATTCATCTCTACCCTGGTCTGACTCCTGACTCCTGAATATATGCATTTCCACTGTCATAATCATATACTAGAAATAGTTACACTATAATACCCCTGTTACAACAGTAAAACCTAAGTCCTTCTGCAAAGAAGTCTCTTAACCATCTACATAAGTAGTACTCATACAAAGCTGATAAACAATTCTGCTTGAATTTTGGAATTTCCTATTAATATGCCACCCTCTCTTAAGGGAAAAATTGAGTTGGTTTCTGTAGGTGTGAGGTGTTGACATTGCTTAACCCCAGCTGGTAACTAAGTACCACTCGCTTCCCTCCTCCCTCGCCCTCGGTGGAGATGGGGAAGAGAATCAGGAAAAGATAAACCCATAGGTTGAGATAAGAACAGTTAATGATTGAAATAAAACTAAATATAATACTCCTAATAAAAGTAATAATATATGTAATGAAAAGGAAAGCAAGAGTAATAAAACCCAAGAAAGACAACTGATGCAAAATACAATTTGCTCAACACCCACTGACCAATATCCAGCCTGTCCAGGCAGCAGTGGGCACCTGGCAGCCAATCCCCCAGTTTATATGAGCATGACATTATGTGTTATGAATACTCCTTTGGCCAGATCAGGTCAGCTGTCCTGGCCATGCTCCCTCCCAGCTCCTTGTGCACCTGTTTTCTGGCAGAGCCTGGGAAACTGGTGTCCATGACTCAAGAGTAAGCACTACTTAGCAACAACCAAAAAACGTAAGTGTGTTATCAACTTTATTCTCATACTGAATCCAAAACAGAGCACTGGACTAGCTACCAGGAGAAAATACCTGATTCCCAGCAAAAACCAGGACAAGTGTAAAGCAAACAAGAAGTTAACAATTGTGTAAGGTTTATGGTATGACACATCACCATACCAAAATGGAACCATGTTGAGAAATTACTTTTGGTATATGTCTTGGTTATTCCCCAGTGTCCAGGTGCATTTTCCTAATTTCCACGTGTAAATTAGTAAGAAAAGGGGCAAGAAATGAATGGACTTTAAACCATGGTAAACTACAAAAGCAGTAATATTGGAAGCTTTACTGCATGTTCACCACTACTGAAAGAGACAGGAAAAACCACATAAAGGGAAAGACAGGTGCAAGCATGATGTTCAGTAATAACAAGAAAGGGATACAAAAATTATAAAAATCAGAAAAGGTGAATGGTTATTGCCATTTTAAAGTGAAGGCAGAAGAGCAAGAATGATCTGCAATCAAAGCATGTACTTTAGGAGCAGTGGGAGAGATGCAAGGGAATCCTGGCCGATTCAGTGGTCAGAAAAGTGAGACGTTTCAGGCTAGCTTTTCCAAATCTGCTGTTTCCCCATTTCTCTTTCAACGTGTAAAAAAGTACTCTAACGCTTCCCCCCTCCTATGTACTCCAGCCCCCAGTTACTATGTGACAGTTAGAGACCTGATTTCCAGGAAAAAAAAAAAAAAAAAAAAAAAGAAAAAAAAGAGGTAAAAACTAATGTGCTGGCTCAGGCCAAAGGCTCACTTCATCCAGAATTCTATCCAATACCCAGGAGATAATACAGGATATTCAGGAGAGACCACAACCAAATGTGAGTGCTGTGATATCTCCTGAGCAGTTCATCCAAAAGGCACTCCATGGGGCTGCAGAGACTTCCCTGGAGGGATTTATTCATTAACTTGGTAAATCATAGCTCTGGAATCTCTCTCAAATTTACCCCATCTCATACAAAGCAAGGAAATAACAGCAGAAGTGTTCTATAGATACCAATCTACTGTTGATAATAGGGTTTTATATTATATTACTCAACATTTTAATTAGGGTAGATAACTGAGTTAAATGACAGTTACAGAAGTCAAGGACATGTAGCAGGAAAATGTGTCCATTCCCTATCTTTTCAGACTCACACAGAACTCTCAGGCACCTTAAGGTCATTAACTTCCCCAAGACCTGCTGTGCTCTTCCAGCCTCTCCGAGGCACATTTCTATCAAATGACCACAAAAGCTTCTCATTCAGTGAGTATCTCACCCTTAGAGAATTACACCTGTGAGTGTAAAACCTGGTTTGTGGACAGACAGCTGTGTGGAACCCTCACTCTAAGGCTGTCTACGACTTGCTCATGGCAGCAGAATAGCAACAAATACTGCACTGTCTCCTTCTTGCTCCCAGCATTGGCTGCTCATCCTCCCACTCCTGGGGTTCCTGCCCAGCTGTAACAAGACCTGCAGTCACAGAAGTGGTAAGGTATAGATGGACACGGAATGTTTCAATCTGCCTTTTGCATGGAAGGTTATAAAAGGAAAAAAACCAAAAAACAACCCAAAATTGTGAGAAATGTAAGCAGATTGGTGAATCATGAACAAATAGGCCAAATATTTTTTTTTATAAAATACTCATGCTTTAAGGATAACAACTTGTTGCTGTAGTCACCTGTTGGATAGCTCAAAGCACAACAACGCTTTGATCAACAGACTTCAAATACAAGCCCCAACGCTGTTTTGAAATTGAACTGTTTGATGAAAGTAGCCCCATGTGGTTATTAAATATAAAATGAAGCATCAAAATAGGCAGTGAGTCTAAATGAAATATGGAATTTTGTATAGAGTTTTGGCAGCAGACCCTCCAGGTAAATGGCTGCACCTCAAATAAGGGAACCACTCCACAAATTTAAGTCTTCACTATTTGTCCATGCTAAGTGTCTGCAAGAAGAGAAGCAGAAGTTCTCCTTGCGAGGCCTGCAGGTCAGCCAACAAGCCAGAACTCTGCTGGAGAGGCAAAATTCCACTACCTTTCACTGCACTGGAGAGCACTTATCAAACTAATTATGTGCTGCATGAATACTAAACTTATGAAATGAAAATACATTGAGAAGCATGGCAGGGAACACAGCTGCAGACCAAAGGTAAGAAATTCAAACTCAAAATTATCTGTTTATATCAATAACTGTCATATTCACTCCCTTGAATGCTTGAATCATTGGCATGAAATGAAAACTATTTGACTGCAATTACAGGGATTTTTATCAGAGCAGACTTTGATTTCACATAGTCACAGTCACATGAGCTGCTCCTTCCCAAAGCAGTTTTACCACTTTTCATTTTGTACTCAATCACCTGCATGCCCCAAGAGGCATCCCTAGCTGACTCGTGTCCTGTGGCTGTTCATAAAAGCCATATAATCAAACTAGTGATTAATTGTTCCAACCTATAAATTACTACTTTATGAGTACACCACCTGTACACTCTCACCTAGCAGAAAACATCTGTTTAGCACCCTGCAGTCAAAAATTCAAAAGAACTCCGCAGTTCCCAAACTACAATGGTCACAATTGTTCAGATGTTACTGCCGGCCTGATTTGTGAAGAGACAGGAAGTCAAGATTTTGAACTGGGACCACTCCACCTCAATCTTTATTTTACATAGAGGGACTTAATGAACTACCTGGGTGTGTTCACTATGCCTTAATTTGAACCAACAGTGAGAAGTCTGACACACTGTTCTACTCTTTTACAACCAAAGGACACAAGCCAAGGCTGACAGCATGATGGTATTCTGTGCATCGTAGAACAGAAATGCCTCTTTGAAGTAAAATTAATTTACTATGTAACTGAATGACTGATCTTGAATTGCAGCCACTTCTAGAGGAATAGAACTCCTATGATACAATTCATGAAAGAAGAAAACCCACTTTATTTACAGTAAGACACAGCACTGGCATCAAGATAGACAAGTACGAACTCTTCAGCAGAGTTCAGGCCTGCATACTGAATTCTTTCACTAGGTGTTATGCCTGCACACATCCATCTGATAAGTTATCAAGACCCTTTCTCTTGCTCTTCCCCACTTGTGAAAATCAGAGTATTTTTTGTCACCTCAAAAATCTGCTTTTTTTTGAGATAAGTGGCAAAAAAGCTGCCCAAAAATAAGAGAAAATAGACTGAGCATCCACTGATGGAAGTTTCAGCCTGGAAGGCATGTAACTCAGATATCTGGACTTTGAAAATCCAGTTCTGAATGACTGTGATATTGGCATTAATATTAATAGAGCTGAACTGCAAAACAGTTTAATGTAAATTATGCCACAGGAGCACCAGTGACACAAGCTCCGCCTCTTTAACCCACACGACAAAACCCCCAGCTTTGTGCACACATAAGCAATTTCCGAACACATCCTCAAGATCCACTTACACATCCTCACTATTCTGGGGGTGCACTTCTCGGACCTAGGTCTAGTCTAGAAAACCCTCGCTCAGAGTGTGCTGTGCTGGCTATACATATCACGACTGCTCAGCTGTTAACCACAAGAACACAAAATGAGAGCAGCTCTGTCCCACCAGCTGAAAGCAATGCATGGCTTGACCAGGATTTAATGCTGTTTCACATTAACATCCAGAGCTACAAGGGTGACCTGGAAAGTGCTAACTGGTCAGAGTCCAAACACTCATTCCAAACCTTTCTGTACTTTTCTGACCTCTGTAACTGTGCTGTTTATATAATTTCACTCAACGGTGTTAACAAAAGTTGCGCAAGCAAAGCAAATGAGAGGGAATATAATATTTTCAATACACTCTAGAAAAACTGAGTAATTGTCAGTATACTGTTGGTTCGAGAGCCTTTGGCGACAAGAACAGAAAATGGTGAAAACGACAATGCTTCTAATTATTATCAAGGCAAACAAGAAAAACAAGAGATTTTTCATTGCCCCCGCGCCCCCCACCCTCTCTGGTGAGAGGGCCGTACCTCCCCGTTTCCAGGACCCGGCAGCTGCAGCTCAGCAGACCCCGCTCCCTGAGGCAGAAACTTTCCGCACAACTTTCCCCGCAGCCGGCCCCGAGCCCCCTCCCCCGCGCCGCGCACTTACGGCGGGTGAGCAGCACCAGGGGCACGGTGATGACCACCACAACCACGGCGACCCCCAGGATCCCCAGCAGCCACTTCAGGAAGCTCTGCAAGAGAAGTGCCGTCAGCCGCCGGCGGCGCAGGCCCTGCCCGCGCTGCCGCCCCCCGTCCCCTCACGCACCGGCATCGCGGAGCGGGGCGCGGCTCCGCGGGCCCGGCCGAGCGCGCTGCGGCTCCGCAGCCCCGCGCTGCCCGCGGGGCTCTCCTCGGGAGCGGCGCCTGGGCGGGGGCTGGGGGCGGCTGCCGGGGAGCGGCAGGCGCTGGGCGTTGTGCAAGATCCCGGCTTTCTGCTGGCTTGGCGGCGGGAGCGGCGCTTTCTCCGTCGGTTCGCAGTCCGGCAGCGCGGTGACAGCTGTGCGCGGCAGAGCAGAGAGCTGGGACAGCGCGGGGATTTCTGTCGGAAATCAGATAACGGCCCAGAAGTGAAATGCCTTCAAACGCTGACGGAAAACTCCCAATGTTTTGATAACAGCGGCATTTTTTGTTGAGTTTCTGCTCTTTGAACTTCCCTTTCTGACAGTCAAGTCATGAAAAAAAACTGATAAAATTGCAGGAAGGGCTTATATTTATAGTTTTTGGCACTGGAGATAGATGTGTAAGTCTGCTAAGTGGGTCTTTAAATTAAGACCAGAAAATGGAAGTATAGGACAAAAGTTTAAAATTTAGTGAAGATACCCTTGTTTATGGCATAGAACAATTCCCTTTCCAATGAGAGTTTTGAGTATGTGCTGAGAAAGTAGGACAAACTGTTGGAAAAGACAGAATAACCTGTAAATCAAAACTGTAAAGCTTTTGATTGTTTAAAAAGCGGAGTCTTGCCAGTTATTAAAAAAACTGAGTTTCTAAATTATTTTAAGAGCTCTAGCCTCCAAAAAAATAATTGCAAGTCATGCTTTTTGTTTTATCCATGTTAGATTTTCCTCCTCTAATTGCAGAACACTAGGAGCTACCAGAGACAGATGCAGGTATTTTACGAGTTGAGAAATGTAACAGAAAAAGTATATGATCTGCTGAAGCAAGATTTCAAGTCAAGGGAAATAGCAAATGTTCTTAGTCTTGCCTTCAAAGAACTTGTTAAAGCTTTCAGAAAAGTTATGCTGCTTGCTCCTTCATTCTGCTTCTGCAGATGGAGCACAGCATTTAATATTTTACTGCTGTTTCTTAAGCAAACCGTGTCTGGAAGTGGGATAATAGCTTTTTGTGATAAAAAAGTCTCCTTTAGTAGAATCAAAGTGTTTACAAACATTAAGGATGTGTCTCTGTGGGAGCTAACAGACTTCATCTAGGTACAAACATGTTCTTGCTCGTTGTTGTGTACCATTCTCCTTGAAGGTAGCAGTTGGTACTAGTTACAAAATTATGCTGTGCTGGCTGTATTGGGTTACCTTAGGAAGGTGATTAATGTGCCCTGACAGTGGTTCCAGGTAGCACAGTGTACATTTACCATGCAGCATCCTACCTGCTGCAATTTCACAGCTTGCTAATCACTAATCTCTCAGTAGATAAGGCCACTTCTATAAAGTAAAATCACAGTGAAATGACAGTGTTTTACATTACCTTTCAAAGTAGTATCTCACGGTATGCTGCAAGATGCATGACCAATGTTTCAGAATGTCTTACAGCTCCACTTAAATATCAGTCTGCTATACAGTGCATCTGTTTGTCTTGTCAACAATCAAAAAGGAAAAGAGAACACCACCACCCCTCACCCCAGGGTGAATTTTCCTATTCCTAGTGAGTAGGAATCACAACATAGATATAATTCAGCTAATCTGTGCTTTTTTTCCCCCTTAAACATTAAAGTAGTGATCATCACAATGTCTCAAAATACAGCACAGTCAAATTATGTCAGTCTTGTGAAAAAATATACCTGAATGTTTTGTAGCTTTTCATAGCCAAGTCACAGTTTAGTAATATTTTAGTAATATTAGCTACCATGTTTTAAAGTTTCTCTGTGGTGAATTCTAAGGAGAAAAAGGGAGCAGTACTGTCAATGCACATGGCTGGCTACTGCTGGTTTCTGTGGGAACACCATTTTGAGTGCCTTTGGAAATCTGGGTTCCTATGTCTAGATCAAATTTTTAGTAACCTACAGTGCCTCTGACTCTGGTCATGCCAGAGGGACTTACAGGACCCAAATCTGTAGGCAGAACCACCTGAGTGATTCAGTAATAGTCAGTAAAGCAGAATATGTTTTCCATTTAAATGTAATAGTTCCTAACAGTGATTCTCTACAACTTGAAAAAAATCTCAAGTTCCTCCTGACTGATCAAAATACCCATGATCCCAAAAAAACATTGTTATGGTCATGCTTCTGATTCTCAGTCAGATTGTCTTTTGTGATAGCCTGAGACTTAAAAAAGTTCTTCCAGCTAAGTATTTCAAGTGACTTTATACTGTGGTGTTCTTTTGTAATCAGATATGTATTAGCACCGTGCCAAGAAATTAAAGTGACTATCCAGCAGCGGCTGCTACGTGATGAAATTTGAGAAGCTGTAGCTTCTTATTGTATGTTCAACACAGCAGTATTCATAAAGAAGTTGCATGATTGAAAAGAGCTCTTACTAGAAAAGAATGAAAATACAGCTTTCAGCCTGAGGCTGACCTTCCCAAACAGTTGGGGGACCTGCCAGATGCAATGTCTTCCTCAGACTTCTAGCCTCAGTAAAACTCAAGACTTTGTTAGACATCTGTTTATATATTTGAGCCTTTCCTCCAGAAATATTTGGAAAAGTCAAACTGCAAAAATGGAAAACTTAAGCTCTCTGCAGATTAAAAAAATGCGACTAAAATGAGTGCACTTTACAGGTGCAATGATGTATCCCAGATTTCTCAATGTGTTGCTGTGGGAGACAAAATATGGGCTGGATAAAGTTTTGTTTGGATTCAGTGGCTCCAGTGAATAGTGGAGTTTCATTTTTTCTTTGCATTTGAAGTTGAAATGGCATGACAGTTTTGTAGCACATCTTTGCATTGGTTCTGTTTGAGAGGATTGTGAAGAGAGTGTTAATTGTAAGTCAAGAAAGAAAAATCCCTGGTTTATGTGATTATGTCACTGGGACATCAATTTCAATGTGGTTAATAGCAGCTGTCACTTAGCTCTTTCAAGTTTGTATGTTTTTCTGTAGAAAATTGTTTTCCTGGGAACTACAGATTCTTACATGTCCTCTGAGCACAGGTAGAGTATCTCAGGTTTGGTGGGTGGTTTTTTGTTTGTTTTTTTTTTTTTTAAATTAATTCCAAGTAGTTATATGCAATATACTTATTTTTCCAGATACTTAGTAAATACTATGGAAGAGAAAAGATGCTGCACACTCAGCACATAAAATACAGTGGGGACACTTTTAAATATAAGGCCACCTGGAAATTCAAGGCAGCACATGTGCAATGCACAGAGGACTCCAGTTATTGTAGTAAAGACAAAGTGATTGTGACTTATTTTTCCCTATATTTATACTCTTCACTGAATTTCATGTAGCATGTGTGAGAAATATCCAGGACATACCTTATTACTGATGCCATATGGACTTGCTCTGTGATTTGAGGAAATGTAAATCCTAGTCCTGTTGAGGTGAAACATGTGTTTGATATTTCTGATTATAAGCTCAGCTTCGTCTCACTTGTGAAGAAAAGGTTACTTTTGATTCATGCTCTAGATTGGGACTTAGAAAATTAGAGGTTAAATGTTTTTGTTGTGTTCCAGACAAGCTGCATAAACTTGAGAAAATAATTTATATCCCTCTGTTCCTAAAGCATATAATTTGTAAAAGTGTGGAAAGCCCAGTATTTTCGTAGCTGACAAAGCCATCACTACAGGGGGCTCAAAATCCCTGGTGACAGACACTGTGGAAAAATGGATTTGTAACTGAGGAATCCTGTCCTTCAGAACACCAGAACATCCTGGACAAAGTAAAATATAAAAAATTCAAAGGCAATAGTTCAGTCTGTGGGAACAGAAGAGTTACCCCTTACCATTTTATCCTGGTCCATATGTATCCAACTATGTATAACTGAATCTTTTCCAGTTCCACTTGGACCCAAACCACTGTGTACAAATGGGATTAAATAAACAAATAATATGTATACATAGTCTCCAGCTTTTTTTCCTTTTTCTTTTCTTATCTCCAGTGGTATTTTGGATGTTATGATTTTATATTTTTTTAGTGGAAGATTTTTTTGAGTTTAAATTGTTTAAAGTTGGGATGTTAGAAGAGCTTTCTGTTGTTGCCAAGAGGCTGATCAAGATGCCAAATTGGGTATGATCTGTTCTGATCTGAAATTACAGAATATTCATTCCTATAACACTTTGGAAGAATGATCTAATATTTTCTCAGAAATTTTAGATTCTAAGTGGAAGTTTCAGATGCTTTTAAGAACTTATTCCCATAAAAATTTTATTCCTAGCAAAATTATAGGTACTAATTCTGATTCAACAATGGTCCTATTCCATGTCAACTTCTACTAGATACTTGTTAAGACCATTGGATTTCTCTTAAGCCACTTAGCCTTTAGGACATTTTAATATAGATCCCTGGATATTGCTAAAATAGCAAGAGGAAGAAAAGGGGCTTTGGGTAGTCACTGGAAGTAGGAGGAGCAGCCCTTAAAAGTGATTCAAGGAAGGAAGGAAGGAAGGAAGGAAGGAAGGAAGGAAACACGGATTAGAGGGTTTTGGCTTGACTTGGCAATCTTACAAAATGTGAAGGATTTCCGGGGCAGTTTCCACATTTATGGAGTATATTGCACTTAACATTTTTCAAAGCTGTCCTCCTGTTCTGAGCCATAATTTATGCTAATGAAAAATAATTGTCTCTTCAGTCATGTTTCCCCCTCTAGCTTCATCTTGCATGATTTATTTTTCACCTAAAGATAGTTCAGAGTTCACACAGCTCTTTTCTGGGAATCATTGCAGACAAAATGTGACAAAACAATGCTGAGTGTGTCATTCCAAACAAGCCCCTTCTAAGATCCCAGAGACACTAAAATATTAGAATAAAATGAAATGGAGTGCAAAAAGGAACATGGCATATACACAGTGAGAAGTCAACAGAAAAGAAGCTTGAAAAAAAATTTATTTAAGGCTATAATTTAATACCCTTAAAGCTTAGCCTTTTTATAACAAAGGTTTTAAGAGGGATATTCACTTCTCAGGCATTTGTAACTGCCAGCCCCTTATGAATAACACATATAATTGGTAATTGAATAATTTATGTGTAGAAGTAAATTTTTTAGAAAAATAATTTTATCCTTAAATATAAATGGAGTTACTTTAGTCCTAATAAATGCAAAACGTGAAGTTATAGAACTTTCACAGTCTTAAAGCTGTTAAGAAAACCATCCCTTAGACAACAGGTTTTCCATATATAAACCTTTGGCAACACTAAACTATAGTACAATTATTTCCTGGCATGCAAGGTGACATAGCTTTGTTACAACAAATGTAAATGACAGAATACAGATTTCAGAATCTCTTAATAACTGGCAGTTGATGAAATGAAGAAATGAAGATCTTCATTTATCCCATTTTATTCTTCATTTTTACTGGTATTCTTCCAAAAGGTCTCTGGGGAAAAAAAAAAAAAAAAAAAAAAAAAAAAAAAAAAAAAAAAAAAAAAAAAAGAAAAAAAGCAGCAGCAATTAGGAAATATTCTAAGTCTCCCAAGATTTATGAAATATGTGTGGAACATATTTTTTCTGTTTAAGACTGAGCAGATGTTAGTTTCACAGACCTTTCAATGCCTCTCTCTAATAACAGATTAAAAACAATTCCTAAAGGAAAAGCATTCTCGTAGTTTCTAATAGATTATTTTCCTAAATTGTTTGTTTCAACACTGAGCTACAAATATAAAGATAGTAACATTTTAATATAAACTGTATTTTAACTACACCTTCTAATTTTTTTGTTAATTTTGTTTCAGATTTCCAAAATTTACTAGTCTTTTTGGGTGCTTTAATAATGCAAATGGGATATCTAACATGTTAAAAAAATCTGGCCACTCACATGTGTCTTGAGTTGGCATTTAATTACTTTCTAAAATGCTTTGTTAATTTTAACAAATAATTCCCAAATATTAACCTGTTCACAGCGCTCATTTAGAAAATGCTGCTTTGCCTACCTACAGGCAAACTAAGGCAGGGTTCCCAAACAGTCACTGTCAGGAGCTCAGATTACAGCACTGTTCCCTAATGACAAGCCACAGATTGGGGCCGTGTTTTATATCACAGTCTTTAAAGAATAATCAATTCGGTGTAATTTTACCAGTAAATATTTCTGATTTTATAATGTCCGTGCAAAGCAAAGCTTTCTTTTTCACTAATTTAATATGACCTTACTTCTGGTAACCTTCAGTGGCAGAACTACTTTCAAGTTAAATAGGTAATTATTAGAGAGGTTGACCATTGATAAAAATTCAAATAATATTTGGAATGATTTCCATTTAGTGTCTTATCCTTCTTCATCTGTCTGTAACAAAGTTTGCAACACACTATAGATATATCAATAGCTAAGAGAAAAATTAGTGGTATTTTCCCCAGGTGTGACAAATGCATTTTAAATATCAGTATATTAAGAATAGTATAAAATTCAGGCACCTTTGGGTAACTTTTGTGTTAATTAGCCATTTTAGGAACTCTTTGGCAGCCATGTCATCAAGGACTTTGTTGATATCACTGGTGAAAGTGCCATCTGCATGTCTTCGACCCATTTCTTCAGCCACAAGAGCTTTCTCTGGGAAACTTCAAAGGCAAGAAATTATCAGCACTGTGCAGATCAAAACAAACAAACCATTTAAAAGGGCCTTACTACAGGGTTCCAGTACACTGCACATTCCCTGTCATTTTAAGGAGTTAAGGGTTGAGCCTAATGTTATGGCTCAGTACAGCACGATGCGTGTCAGAACATCTTTTGAGGCATTATTTTCAAAACACTCAGCCGTTCCTTCCAGTGAGCCTAAGCCCCTCTCCAGCAGTTCTGAGAAAGCCATACATGCAAAAATATATCTCAGTCTGCAGTGTCTCTGCCATGTATATTAGGCACCAGTATATTTACTAAGAATTGCTATTTAAGAAATACCACCACTAAAACACTGCAGTCAAATTTTCATGCTTTTTTCTGTTTTATTTGGGCATAAGGCCTATTTATTTACTTTAAGTTATATTTTCTAAGAATTCTTATTCTTAATAATTCTTAGTAAGAGCAGCATTTTTTTTTCTCTGGAAGGGTGGTTGAAATAGCTCACTTAAAGCACCTGTATAAAACCTATGTGCTTGTTTGATGTAAAATCGTAGAATGTTGCATTTTATACTTGGAATCAGATCCTGATCATTTTTCTGTTCTTTTTTTTTGAATTTCATTTCCATTATTTTTTCTGCTGGAAAACCAGTTTGTCAAAACTAGAGTTTGCTTTAGAAAACTTTCCTCTCTTGTTTCATCCTATGAAATACAGGAAGATTTTGATGGATTTCATTAAGGTGGGCTGATGCTGAAGCACCCTGGGTCCTGGATCCAGTGACAGGCAGACTGGTTCATTTCAAGGAAGGCTATATACAAGTTCAACCACAAATAGTACTAAATGCTGGAAAGCAGAAGTGTTGTCTACAATTAATTGCCCATCTAGGTTTCTAAGTTCAGTTGAGGTTGTATTTCTCTCAAATGAATACAGAAATACCCTATTTCTGCGCATGAAAATAACATGACAGAAAAACAAGTGGAAGTCTGAAAATAACTAGGAAGGGGAACCAGTTTTCCCTTCTCTGTATAGTTGACCTGATTTATTTAACTCTGGTTTTTGTCAGGAAATTGTCAATGTTTACAAAACTTACTTTTTCCTATTTAGTCTTCCTTAACTACAACACACAATCTTGTCTTACAGATTGTATTTTATTATTATTTATTATTATTATATTTATGTAAAGTGAGAGACTTACATAATACTTTACAGCTGGTAGAATATTTAATCAGAGGATGAACTGAAATCCCTGCCCCAAAGAGCTTACAGTCTAAAGGCACAAATAAGTACAGAACAGTTAAAAGGTGGGGAGTGGCAGCTGCATGGTGTAGCTCCTAACCATGCAGAGTTGGAAATAGATGAGCAGAAGATGCCTGCAGGAGACTGGAGGCAATGCAATTGTAAATGTAAGACCATCATGACAAAAGATGTAAAGTCATGAGGCAGTACATGAAATGGATAGGACAGAGAAATCTGCAATGAGTTTGTGGAGAACAAGGTAGAAATGAAAGAAATAATAGGTAGGCAAAACCATTAGTGGAGCTTTGTGTCCAGGAAACTGCAAACCATGGCAAAAGAATCAGAGGCATCTTAAAAAGGAAGATAAGTTATAGCAAATGATAGTTGTTATGGCAGCAGCAGCTTGGGGAGACTCTGAGAAGCACGGGAAGAGGAAAAGAAGTTATTAGTTACTGCTGGGAATGATCATCAGCACACAGAGTACACCTGATGACATTGGTAAAAATTCAATCTTGGAAATATTGCAGAGGAAAAGATGGACTGTAAAAGGAAAAAAAAAAAAAGAGAAAGCAATTTAAGATGACACTGGCTTGAATAATCTCAATGACAGTTAAGGAGACTGTAAGCAATGTTATGTGAAGGGAAAGGTGGTAGTTAGAGGAAGAAGGTCTGGTTTAGTTTTAGATGCATTGACCTTAAATAAAACTTGACCTTTTAGTATGTAACAGCTTACTGAAGAGGTTTTAATCTGTATTTGAACTTAATAAGGTAAAGTGGTGGTCAATCACCAACAGAGTATCTTCTAATACAAAAGAAAGACATGAAGTACAGCAAGAATGATCAAAAACACATCAAAGTTTCATCAGACATGATTTCTAAGCCCAAATACTAGGCAAAATTTAATAATAGGAATGGATGGATTCTTACTCTCTTCTTCCTCGTCCATTCACTAACCAAGCGATGAACTCTTTGGCAGCTTGACCTTCCAAATAAGAGGTGATGTCGCTGGTGTAGGTGCCTTCAGCATGTCTCTCAAATTCCGCGTGGCGCTTGGAGATTGCATTGCTGAAAGGAGAGTGTGTAAGACTGTGTAAGACTGTGTAAGAATTTAACTTTTTAACAATCTTTATTGATTCCAATTTCCCACTTGCCAGACTAATGTTTCTATAGGAGAGAGGGGTTCTTTTTGTGCCTCAAATTGATCTTGATGTATTTTTTATTGTTAGGTTTCAATGCTGAAGGTGTTGCCTGTACTATGCATTACAGTTTTGTGCAAAGATTCCTGAACTAGCTCTGAACAACTCACTTCAGGTGCGGAAAGCAATTACAGCTGTATTGGAATGATCTTACTAATTAAGTATGAGCTAGAAACTGTATTGTATTATACAGACATGCTTTTTGTTGCCCTTTGTTAAATGCTCCCCCTACCTTCACCTTCATTATTTCTGAGCCAAACTATTCAGAATTAATTCCTTTCAAATTTACATTTTGAGTTGTTTTATTAACACCTTTTAAGTCATCACTCTGACCAAGTCATAATCTTGGAAAACTTTCAAGCCTGATCAACTCCGTCTTATTAAAGGCATTCTCCTCTCCCTCCCTACACCTCATTGTGGTTCTTTCTCTGATATAACACAAAATTATGTTAAAGTGGCTCCTGGGAAGGCAAACTGCACTAAGAAGTAGACATGCTATGGAATATTTTCTGTGAATAAATTCCCTAGCATTTCTGTTTCAAAATTTGCTAATTTCTGCCCAAATCTAGCTTGTTCTATTATTTTTTCTTCTTGGGATGTCACCATTCCTCCTAATTTAGTACCATCTGCACTTTTCATCAGCATGCTAACTAGAGTTGTTTGGAACATTTTTAATGTAATGCTAATTTTTTTTGAGATATGCTGTTTCAATGAAGCGGAAACATTATTACAAATTTGTTATTAATATTGACAGTGTGAATGTTAAGGGTCTTTCTGATCTGGGCTATCCTTTTTGGATTTTCTGACAAGAGAAAGAATTAATATAGGTATTTTAATCTGTTTTGCAAAAATACTTACTCAATTTCTCCTTTATTTATTTAAAATTTCCAATCTCTCTAACCCTTTCCCAAAAACACAGTCAAGAAACAGAATTCTGGCCTTCAGCAGTCTTCTCCTTTCTGTAATAAGTGGTTTATGAAACATGGGACTGAGGGCTGAGGGCTGAACATTGCATCATGTTCAATCAGCTCTCTGCAAATTTTCCTGGCCACCTTCCTTTCACTAATCTCACTGGTTTTTTATTCTTCAACATAATGTGGTTGATTTTGTTTATTTTTTTTCAGCCTTTCTCTATACCAAGTTTTTCTTTTTATGTTATTCTCTACTCCTTGATTACTTGAAATGTGCTTTCCTAAAACGTATTCTCATCCTGTTGCATTCCTTGCATCTATAGCTATAGAACACAGGTGCAGGAATAAATAACATAGAGACATATCCTATTTCCTTGTAAAAAGCAAGAGTGAAATAATGTATTTGATTGATATTTCTTTGATTGTGGTAACATTTCAAGGAACACTAGTTGCTCTCTTTCTTGTTTAACTGAAAATGAACTCAAACTGGTTTCGAATAACAAGTTGTGACAAACAGAATACCTTGAGAGCTGGTCAGGGACTTTGTTGTTTTCTTTGTCCTCCTGTGCTTGTTGGCTGTAGTGAAATTGCACAATCATTAGGTCATTATTACCAGTACACTCCAGAGCCTGCATAAGCTTTATTGGTTATTATTTGAATATTGTAGTAAACCCCCATGACTCACAGATGAATATTATATTCATTATATTTCAGACATATGAACTTAAATTAGTGCAATGTATAGACATTGTTACTTTATACTTTAAAGACTTCCACAGAGGTTTAAAAGCATTAATATAATAGATTCTTCTGGATATTTCTGGATTCTTTTTGGACAAATTTTCTCTAGAACACAAGACTAACACACTTGTACATTATTCTTGCTCTCACCTTGCTAGCTTGAGTTGAATCAAAGTATATTTGAAAAAAAACATGCCAACTTATAGTGGTGATACTGGTAAATTATCCAGTGGTCAACAAAACTTACACTTCAGCTGCCTTTTCAGAAATGAAACATCAGGATTAGAGTATCCATAGATAGGAAAGTTTTATTGAGGCCTAATGGCCCAGAATTGTACATTATATATCTTATTTGTATTGAACTTAATTGATTCACTGAGAATATCTGTCTCAAAGAGGCCAAGACAGTGTTTTTAGGTGGCATATCAGATACTGCACTTTGATTTAGCCAAATCCTTTTGATTGATTTTGCAAGTTTCTCATTTCTAATAATATATTAATATTAGTTAATGGCTGGACTTGATCTTAGAGGTCCTTTCCAAACTAAATGATTCTATGACTGTATACATAAATTTTCCTCAAGTACTTATTTCAGGTTTATCCATGGTCTGGGATGGGGAGCTGATACCAAGAAACTGAATTGGCTAGATTCTTGGCTGTTTCTGTTTGTGGAGATCTGTATCAATGAGACCAAAATGCTTACCCATTTCTTTTAGTGCTCATCAACCATTGCACAAAGTCCTGAGCTCGTCTGGTGTCCAGGTACTTGGTGTAATCACTGGTGAATGTGCCTTGTGAGTGACGTTTCACTTCATTCAGCTGCCTAGATTCCTCTATTGGCTCAGAATGGGAAGCTTTGAATGATCTGTGAAAAGTTTAGACCTTGTTAATCTGCAATGGTTGCAGTACAGTCTACAGGTGCATTGATTTTCTTTTAACAATACTTTTTTTTACTCCCACAAAGTGAAAGCAAGTGGCATATTGCTTAATAGCTGTCTGGTAAAAGGAATCTGTATAGCAGACTGGACACTGCCCAACTACACAGTCTTCTTGGATAAATAAGGTAGCCATTGTTTTAATGCCCCAAATTCCTGTGCTAAGCTTTGCAATATTAAAAACCCTGTCAATTTCAATGGTAGATCAAATACTGCTTAAAGGGGTCTTTAAATTATAGTATGTTTGGCTTCAAAATGTAAGAAATCAAAGTTCAGGCCAAGTATTTGTGAAAGTTTGATCTAAAGAATTTACCTTGATTTCTCCTCTGTATCCTGAAGAGGATTTTGCCAGCTGCCTTGAACTATCATTAAAAGGAGACCAGCAACAAAGTAAATGCTTTTCATTTTCATTGCCTGTCAAAACAGAAATAAAGCAACAAAGAAAAATGTTATCATGTTTACATATGTCTGAATCAATTACATCGAAAAGAGACATTCTTAGTGTTGATCTAAACATGAAGATAAATATAAAGAGCCTTCTAGGATGGGTTTCATGTCCACTGGATGACATTTTAGGGCCTTGGGTAGCATTGAACAGATGTAGCCTCTGTTCCAGTCTTTCAGATCTAGTCTGTATTCTAGAATGCAAGGAGATCTGAGAGCAACTGCATCCTCACTGTCTTTTGCAGTGTGAGGATAAGGTCTGTTCTCTCCTTTTCTTTGGGTTCTGCTGATGGCAAGCACTAGATCTGCAATACAGTTCTATTGCAAAACTGGGGGTAGTGTAGCTGTCATTCACTAGAGAAAGAAACAAAGCAAATCTTTGTCAAGAATACTGTCACATTAGCAGCTCCCCAACCGTCTTTCTCACAGAAGTTGCAATGAGTTCACATCAGCAACATATCACTGGAAATAATTTCATCATGTACTTGGGCTAATACTTGTGTATTTGAAAAAGCCCTTCTGCCATCCGTGGCATTTTCCTATGGAGGTTTATGATACAGTCTGAAAAGCAAAGGGAGATAGAACACATGAGTGCCTTGAAGCAAAGTGGTAGCAAGGTAAGTCCCAGTCAGAAAACACCCTCCCCACTAAATATAATTTGTACCCTATTCCTGTGGCTCCACTGCAGGAATTACTGAAGCTGATTTACTAACTGCTTACTGATTTATAAAATAAGGCAGTCTGAGTGAAAAATATATATATCTTCTCTATTTAAATGCCTTGTCACAAGAGGCTGAATTTAAATATACTATGGGCTGGAGGAAATCTTAGAAAATGATGAGGGAATGATGTGTAGCGAAGGTGCAGATTACTCCATTTTGAAATTGAGACTTTGCTCTGCACCGAGCAATGCAAATGAGGGGGCTATATGAACACCTCTGAAAAGGTGATCTCCTGCATCAAAAAGCTTACTGCTGTAGGACTTCTGCTCTGCCTCCGTAGGTTGCCCCTTCATAGCAGATTTTTTTTGAAACCTGTTTCTTCCATCTGTTTTAAAATAACTTATAGTCGGACATGCAAAGCTTGACTATTGGCAGGCATTTTACCAATGGTTAGGAAGAATCTGTTGGACTGGTACTTTGTGAGGCCTGATTTTTAAGAGAATCTTACTGAATAATATGAATATTTTACTAGAATACCTCAGTATCAGTATCAAAATACTTGAGGCAATCAAAATCTCAACAAAATATTGATCAAGCTCAGGAAAATAAATGTGTAGCTATAATACTTTCTGATGGATTTTACTATTAAGCAATGGAGTCTTCCTCTTTCCACCAGAAGCTACTGACAGTGTTACTCATTTCTTCATCAGTGTCTGGAGACTTGTTTCTGCCTTGTGCAATGTCCTGGTATATAAGAGTTGACCCCTTCATCTGAACATAGCCTGCTACAGTACCAACATATTCCACAGTGGTCATGTAGTCAGTCCTATTAAAACGCTAACTGTAGTACTGAACTCTGCTTTCACGGTTTCATTTGGTGCTGTAATTTGGTGGTGCAACACTGACATCCAATGTTTATCTCAAGGAATGCATAATTTCACATTTCATAGGCTTCTGGCAGTGGAACAAAAGCTCTGCCTGTTCTTTGGGAAATGACTCTGTTGTGGCCATTTCAGAATGCTTTGATTGACCCCTCTGGTAGCTGATACAGCTGTAAATGAGTTAACCTGCACTTGGACACCAGATAAAGTCTGGCTATTACAGAATACATAAGTAAATTTTCCCTGCTTAATAGTCCTAGCTTACAGCTGTCTGTAGCTTTATTAAACTGCAATCCAGATTAGCCATAAACCCAAGTCACTGAGGTGGAATGAAATATCCAACACCAAAAGCTTTTGTTTTATATAAAAGTTATTAAAAATAATTCAAAATCACTGTAGTCAGTAAAGAGATAATTTCAGTTCATCATGGCTCTAACTCTAATGTCTCAGGCCTATAGAACTTTCAGATGTGAACAGTCCCACTGGCTACTTCATTCCTTAATTATTAAGATATTGCATTAAAATCAGATGCATTTTCAGCTGCTTTCTAAATTTTTCAGAATCAAAACTGTGAGATTATTAAAAAAGAAATATCTATAAATGCATTTTTTGAAATTTATAAAATTTTTGAGAATCCTTATTAATAAAATTAGCTTTTCCAAAAACTATTAACCTTCTGTCAAATATGTTCTTTAAAAAAATAGCATCAGTTTTGTTTTTTCAACATTTAGTATTTGCTATTGGTAAGTTAAACCAGCAACAGAAGTTCTTGGTAAGTTAAACATCTTGATAAGTTAAACAAACAGGATACAGTTTTAAAAGAAGAAATTGTAATTTTATTCTTGATAATATAGACATGTGTTGTAGAGAAAAAGAAATGATCAGAAAAATAGTATTTTCTTAGTTTATGCTGGCTAATCAATTAATTTCTCAATCAGAAAAAAGGTTTTATTTGCTGTAAGTTATTTAGGTCACCAGTAGATACTGCTAAAACCCATGGAAACCTATTGTCAAGGCACAGGGAAACTAATCTCACACAGAAAATTTTTATTCCTATGCATATTAGGCTAATGAAAATATTTTCAAATCTTTCTGAGTGAAAATGAAAAAAATTAAGGCATCTCAGTTTGAACCACCAGAAATATGTAACAAATATACCTCTCAAATCTTGAGGAGATATTTATTTGAATATTATTTCCTTGACCAACCTGATTTTTCTAGTTTTCTAATATATTCTACTACAGATGTAGTAGATTTTTTTATCTATGTACAATTTTAACTGGCTTAATTTCATTGAGTTTTCAAAAAAATCTTTCAAAAGCCACATTTGTATCTATTTCCTGTTAAAAATTAGAAATTATGAAGTTACATTAAAAAAGCAGTAAAAAAAGGAAATATTTTCATATGAACATGCATGAATGAACAAAATAGATATCTATTGAAATGAAACTGTCTGCAAATAACAATAATTTCTTTAAATAAATAAATTACTTTTTCAGGCAGGTGCATTTTACATCTGATTTACCCACCATGCTATAATGCCTTGTACAAAGTTCTGTAAAATCCAACAGTTCTAGTCTAAGGAATTCCAGAGTAGGATAGAAGATTATATTAAATTTTATGCAATAATCCCAATAACTATTGAAAGGCTTTAATTTTACTTCTGTGCTATAAAATTTCCTTTTCTGATCTTACAGTGATAAGAAAATAATAGTTGCTTGAGACAAACTAATCTAAAAGGGGGGCAGTGGAGTGACAGAGTGACAATCTGTCTTGGACAGTTTTAAATCAGTGTCTACATAAACCCACTGGATTTGTTTCCATGCTTCTAGCTTAATCCTCATTGATTCATATTTAGGCAGTATCTATAAGGAGTGAATAATTTTAAACTCACATTAATTAAATATTTCTACAGAAGATACTAAAGAAGATAAAAATATAAAAATCAATAATTGTGTGTCTCATTTAAATTCTTACTACAATGCTTGTCTTTCATGTTCTCATTGTTAATCTTCCTTCTTTCAATTAATTCTGCAACACAAACTGTTGATTTCCATTTTTCAGCTCATTCTCTGTTGAAATAATCAATACATCAAAATATTTAAATTATGATGTCATTAACTCCAAGTATCAATGAGTATAACCTCAGAAGAAAACACCAATCTGCTGAAAGAGCTTCACCTCTATTGCAAACTTTGGGCAACAAAATGCAGATATGCACTCGGCTCTCTCAAATAAATATCTGGTAGTTCATATAAATCTTACCTTATTATACTTAGAAGTGATAGGTGGCACTTGCAGAAAGAGCTACTCTCTCTTCTGCAACTATGGCAAGCCTTGAGGATCCTGAGCTCTGCCTAGCTGCCTCTTTTGCACAGACTTATATATATACTGTTCAGCTCTAGTAAGCATTACAGGAGTGCATCATTGCTGACAGTTTCCTTATTCAACTTTAAAAAAAAGTCATCATATTTGCTATTCATTTCATTTGATAATTTTACAAGCAATTTCACACATTCATTCTGCTTACTTTATGACATCAATGCTAACATGGATTTGCAGAAGGAGTGAGGTAGCAATGTCCAAAGTAGTAAATATCAAACAGAAGGGCATTAACATGACAAACAGCGGGCAAAAGGTGCCTGGGATCAAGGCAGCAATTTCTCCAATTTCTGATTTGCCACATTTAATATTTAGAGTTCTGATTCTAATGACATCAATAGCATTGTTTTCACTTATCAATTTTAAATCAGAGTTTATAAATTTAATCGATTTTTTAAAATAAGCACAACTTTCCCAAAACCCTTGAATGATTCTGCAGGTAATCTTGTGCCAATATAATGAATATGAAGAGATGTGAAATATTGCAGTGATGGCTACCCACTACGCTATGCCTAGCACAGATGAAATTTTAAAAAATGTTTTGATTAGCCTTAGATATAAAATTCTAAATTGGTAAATGCTACTGTAAGAAAATTCATACACACTTGGAACTACATGTCAAACATTCACTATAAATTGAGTTTCACACCGTGAAACTATAGATTTCTATAGATTATATGCAAGATAATCTAATGCACTATAGATTTACGCAAGATAAACCATTTGCTCACATTTCCATTCCCCACAAGGAAAAAAATTAAACAAAATAGATTTGAGATGTGTACTAGTGCCTGTCGGTTGCAATTATTGTTGTTCAATGGAGACAATTTCATAGCTCTGGTGGGAGAGCATTGCCAGAGAAAGCCATGGTCATCCATACAGTGACAACACAGAGATTGAGACAGGTAGGGGAGACAGTCAGGTGGGAGGAAGGTTCTGGAATCACAATAGACATCTCACTGAATGTTACTGACAGCCTGTACTCCAGTCTGGAGTTCCTCACCGTCTGGTTTGTGGCACAAGGCACATACATATTATAACAAACCATATTTCCCTTAACACTGCTCCTTGAAGCCTGCAAAGAATGTGCTTCAGTGAGGCAATTGTCTGCTGACTGACCACAGCCAGATCGGTATTGCCCATAAGATACAACCGAGGTAGTGTAAAAACTTAATAACCATGTTAGAGTGGCAAACAAAATTTACTGGATCCTTCCTAGAGCTCTATCCTAAACACCTGGCTACGGTGCCATGGCAGGGGTTCAGGGAAAGGTTAAGTCTCACTACACAGTCCACATCATCAAGTTTAATTTTTGTTAAGTGCAATTTTTCTATGCTATTGAATCAATCTATGAGATTAATGGTTTATTTTTTCCATTCCTAGTCCTCGGGGCGGGTTACCCGGCGGCTCCCGCAGAGGCCAGCAGCGTGTCCTGCAGTACCGGGGCAGCGCAGCAGATGGGGATCAGAGGGCCCTTTCCACCGCTCCTGCACCTGGACCGACACGCACACGCTTTACAGGGATTGCTATATTCATCCCTCTACATGCTGAGTTAAAGATACTTTGGAGAGAGGCAGTCTCTACGGAATGTGAGACAATATCCTCTCCTCCAGGAAACAGACAGCTTTTCTCTTTTTCTTTATCTCAGCTTATTTTCTTGTGTCATATAAAGTTCCTTGTTTACAGTAGGATGATTCCAGAAAAAAAAAATGAGACAGAGCACCTCAGTGCACCTGGTTGGGCAGGTTGTCACAGAGCTGTATCATCTAGCAGGTCATCTAGCATCTAGAAGGTGACCAGTTATTAGTTTTCCAAGTTGTACACAGAAAATAAAATGTACAGAAAAGAAGTGAACTGCCATCAAGAGCCATGCAACCCTCAGTTGCCATAACTGAGTCTATAGTTATATTTCAGGAGCACAGCAAAGAAAAGCCTCCAAAGAAAAGTGGAAAATTGTATCAAGTGTATGAGACATGCACATACACTCAGGTTTGTTCCTCCCACTTTCTAAAATACACAAGTTAGATGGTACCTCCTGGCAAAATCAAGGGCAAGCTCACTGTCCTCTATGTCATTGTTCTCAAATGAGACAATACTTTGAGTCAGACTAAGAGACAGAAGCTGAAAGTGGCCTGCCTTCGGGAAATTTTCATGTTTCTCATGATTCAACTGGAGTGATTGTGTTCACTGTATCTGAAATTTATCAAATTTTCCTGCACCACCATCTGATTAAAATTGTCAAGATTTGAACATTTAAATTAATTAGGAATCTGCTGGCTTTTGACAGTAAAAAGTAAAAAAACCCTCATCAAATTCTTTCAAAAAAGTGACCTCCCCAAATTCTTCTGTGTATTTCTTCATTACATATTTATTGCTATCGTATTATTATCCATTACATGTCTAAAGGGAGGAGTATGTATCTTGGGGTATGACTGCAGGCCCACACCCTTTACTTTCTTATATTATACAGAAAGCATTCTCTCCTAACCTTTTCAGCTGTGAGTTCAGAGAGCTGGGCTCTGCAGCCCCTTTCGTTTTGCTATTTTTGTTACACAATAATCACAAAGGGCATTCCCCTCCTGAGAATGGGAGCCAATATAGGAGGAACATATGTGTAAACACATGCACACATAAAAAACCCACCACATTACATCCATAAACCTGTGCTTGTACATAACACACACAGTGTGTGTCTGTGTGTGTATACAGCTCCACAGGCACCCTTTGGGGAGCATGAATGCCTTTCTGAAATGGAGGGCGAGTCTGGGGTCTCTAGGCCTTTCCACAGCACGCAGCTCTGTGCTCTCTGCCGGGGGGGATGAGAGGTTTGTACCTCCGGAGGCACAGCCATTGTAACTGAGCTGCAGCCCACACTGTCTGCTCACATAAGTTGGAGTCGCTCCACTGCAAGTCAATGGAGCTGCATCAATTTGCGCAAGCAGAAGAGCTGGCCCAATATGTACTAGTTGTTTTACATTCTGAGAAGACAATGTTCATAATTGAAAGTAATACCAAATGCTCTTTGCAAATACTATGAATTATTCAGATTAAATATAGAGCCTTCAAATGACTCTATAAAATGTTCTAAACAGCTGTGCCTTGTAATTGGAACTGACTGGCAAACTGGGAAGTATTGAATGCAGTCTGAATTGGACTTGATATCTGAGTAAAATGAGTATAACACTAACCATATTCTAGAACCTGACTGGTTTTCTGCTAAATTTCTCTTCAGGACTTTTCTTCTTTACAGCTGCAGTAATCCTGTGTGAAACAAATCATGTTAGGTCTGTGTTTGAAGTATAAGGATTGCAGGTTCACAGCTCATACAGCATGAATAAGGTAGATGACGAGAACAGGTTTGGAGTGGAATCAGTGACTTTCTACTATTTATGTACACTTCAGCTCCTAGAATAAAGCAATTTTTCCTTTTCAGCTCTAGTTTTAATTTGTAAAAGCTAGAAAGAATTCATAGTGGAAGGAAACTGACTTGTAAATTGTATTTGTGGCTATTTATCAAGGGCCTCTCTACCTAATTTAGAAAAAAATACATCCTATCTTCAGAGGCTTGGATACTTTGTTTATATGACAGGTATTTGAAAACTCATGTTTCACTGTCTGAAGTGGTATGTTTGAGTATCTGAAGCGTGAGAGTGTTATCCAAAAGAGAATAGAACAGAAAGTGCTCAGCATTTTCTGAAAACCAGATCCTCTAAAACATTTGAAAGTGGGAAGCAAATGACTTTGAGGATGTTCATTCCTATCATAAGAGTTTAGCTTAATTCAAGTTGTGTCCTAGTGTTGGCTCTTACATACCATATTCCATTTTTGCAGTATAGTTATATATACTTTCTATTCACATACTTTGTTAGCTTCACCTTGATACCTCAGGACAAGCCCTTTCATCTTGAACTACTGAAGATGTGTTACAACAGAACCTATCCTGTAGCCTCTTAAGGCTCTTCTCTCTGATTGAAGCGGAATGGGGCAAATACCTGTCCAGTGAATGTTTGGGGTAATGCTTGTAACATGGATTGTGTTTGTAGACAAGGCAGAATGGAACACGTTCTCTTTCTAGAGAAGAAAAGGCTTGGGAGAATCTCATCACCGTACATAAGTATCTGAAGGGATGATATCTTCCAAAGAAGACTGAGCCAACCTCTCTTCAGTGGTGCCCAACAACAGAATGAGAAGCAACAGGCACAAACTGAAACATAGAATGTTCTGTCTGAGGAAAAGCAGGCATTTTTTTACTATGAGGGTGACCAAGCACTGGCAGTGGTGGCCCAGGGAGGTTGCAGAGCTTCCAGAAAGCTTTTAGATGTTCAAAAGCTGTCTGGACAAAGTCCTGGGCTGTAGGATGTAGGTAGTCCTGTGTGAACAGGGAATTGGGATAAGTAGGCCTCCAAAGTTCCCCACCAACCCCAACCATTCTGTGATCCTGTTAGAGTACAAGGATAGGTTTGCAGTGCTCTGCACCATTTCTAGTGACTGACTGTGATATTTCCTGTTATAAGCAAAGGCCAGCCAGCAATCTGACATTGATGTATTTTTAAGAGGGTTTTTTTGACACTCACAGCATCCTAGGACATTTTCTCCCAGGTCATCAAAACACATGGTTGCTCTATCACAAAGCTTTCAGGTTAGACATTATTTCAGCAATTCAGTGCAAATGTCACACTCTGCTGGAGACATATTCCCATTCTTTGGCAAGAACGCTGTGTAAGGCAGAGAAATTAACAACAAGAAAAACAATGAAGGAAAAATGTTGGCAGCAACTGCACTTATTTTAATTTTTTTTTATCCCCACAACTGCTGCCTACAAGCCAAAGTAGCTGGTGAACAGTTTGGAAGATGTGTACTATGGTTGCCTTAGGAAACAAACAGACCTCAGGGCAGATTAATAAGGAAATAGCTAATGCACCCCTTGAGAAAGAGGTACCTTCTGTTATTTTATTTGACTGATTTTCCTGAAATGTTCCTTATTTCAAATACTTCCAAAAGCTTCAGACAACAGACCTGTGAGCAGGGTGTGAACAACACATTGCACCATTTTATTACTTACAGTACTGACAAAGGGCCAATCTACCTGCCCAAATTTCCAGAACTCAGAGGACTTTCAATAGAATAAATAAATTAAAAGTGCAGAAATTGAAAGTGACCTCAATGTATTGGTATTTATGTGAGACTGAAACCATGCTTTTTTGGAAATTACTTAGGCTCTCATTTACATATTCAGGTATCTTAAACCTATAAGCATCTCAGACAAGAGCTTAATTTTTCTCTCTTTCACCACATTACAATTATTTCCATGGTGTTGTATCAATATAACAAATTGAGAGTTAAATCTCATTATTTCAACTGAATTGTATTCCTTATTTGTAAGATAACCACATTTCTGAGACTACTGTTGTGTGCACATAGGACCATATAATCAACATCTAATTAAGCCCACTTCATGTTATATTTGCTTAATTTTAAGTTTCTTACAGCTATAATTTTTTCCTTTAGCCATTATAGCAGTTGAATTTTAATTACATTACCAACAAAAAGCTCATTAACATCACGTAATTGGCAGCGTTTCCAAAAAAACCTGAACTAATTGAGTATTTTCTGAAGAGTTCCCATCAAAGTATAATTTAACCATTACAAACAGCTTGGCAACTACATTTGCATAAAGATGTATCTAAGGAATGTTCTCATGTGTGGAAAATCAGATTTGATATTGCCATTAACAAACGAAGGAAGCTGTTACATAGCAAATCACTTCCACATTTTAATTATTTTGGCCAAACCCCATGTTTTTGTCAAGAAAGTCAAATGAAACCACTTGCTTTTCCACAAAGAAGCAGCAACTGGTCTCTGACAGAGAGTTATGAAGCAGCTTGCTTTGTGGGAAGGCAACACAGTCTATTTTAGGTTATTTTGCACTCTCAACAGCTAATAGCAGAGATTGTGTCAGAAAGACCATGGTTCTTATGCAGTAGACTAATTCAGAATTTTTTAAACACATGACCAAGGAATTGTTTAATGTACAGTGGATCTCTTGCCAATTATCTTGTTAATATTCTTATATTATGACTGGACTGATTTAATTACTAATGAAAAGAATACAAGTATTCCAATCATTATTAGCTTCCACCATTTTTTAAAGACTCCCTAAAATAGTTGCACTAGAAATAAAGCAAAGAAAGCTTGTACAATCCTTTGACCCTTCCCCTCCAGTATGGCATGAATGACACTGAGATCAATTTGAATGTTGAGGTGATGATTAGAAATTAAAAACAGGTCAATATGGCTCACATACTTTGAATACAGGTGAAAAATCCAGTTATATATGACAGTTATCATGAGTGTCCTGCTTTCATGTTTAAACCTGAACACTGAGTTTTGCAGAATCAAGGTTTCAAATAAGAGTTGAATAAAATTTGAACATATTCAATACTCTCAATAAGTATCCAAACTTCAGTATTAGATACTGTTCCTATCTCTTCTTGGATTCTTTACAAAGGGTTGGAAATAAATTTTGAGAAACTGGTTCTTGTTAGGATGCTAATTAGGTAATTGCACTGCTTCCTTTGTCCTTCCCCATTTTACAGTTCTAGTTAACAAATGCAATCATATTTATCTGACAGTGTGCATTTTCAATGAACCACCCTTCTTGGACTGCAGATTGTAAGTTTAAGCAAGTCAGCACAAAATGTACAAGACCCTTTACATTCAGATTTTATTTTTTCTGTCAAACAGGTATCAAATGTGACAAAACATTTGTTACCATAAGATTTACTAATACACAATATCAAAAGTGGATGTAAACATCAAGTTTAAAATTTCAAAGTTCCTGTGATCAATTCACCTGAACACTATACAACTTGGGCACTGCTGTCTTTTCATTCTCCCAAAGATGTCTCAGATGCCTTAGCATGCTCTGAGTAGCCTGCTTATTCTGACAAAGAAAAGCATTGTTTGAGGAAGTGGGTCATATGTGTGTACAGATGTTTGCTGGAAAGGCCTGGAATTCCATGGTTCTGATCAGTATACCACTGAAAGAAAAAGCAAAAACAAAACATAAACCCCTTATGTCATGTTTTCAGTTCTGCAAGAGTTAAACAATACAAAAAATGTATTTTATTGCTACACACAAGAAAGTGGATGGCTCAAGAAAAACGAGGAACCTGATTTTTTTTTCATCATTTCCTAATATATTCTTATTCTTCTTGAAAAAAAAGTTTCTAAGCCTTCTGTTATTTAAGAGCAAGCATTACTGCCTCAGTACTTACAGGCCAGTTTATCAAGTCAGGCAAAAGAGCCTTAAAATGCCATCAGGGATGAAATCCCCTTGACCAACTGTGTGGCCTGGGCAATAGGGGTAAGAGTCTTGCTTCGGAATAAGTACTGAGCTCTAAGAAACAATATTTCAGCTAAATGTTTGAGTTCTATTCAAAACGTCCCAGCATTATAGCAGGGCCATGAACCTTGTGAGTGATGATCTGGAAATAAAACACACATAAGAATTATGCTAACTCAAAACTATCTGCCATTCCACTGTAGCTGAACCAGAATGACTACAACTGCATACAGTTTTCCAGATACTTAAGATATAACCCGCATTTGCTAAAGATTAGCGAAAGAGGCAGAAATGTGCAATACACAAAAGGGCCTATAAACACCTGTTATCCCTTTTTGGGGACTTTATGGCCCTGTGAAACCAGACTCGGGCAGAAGACCAGTATGTTCGATAGGAGGCAAACACTTTGCTTATTAGCCCTGAGAAAAAAAAGGTTTGGAAGCAGAGGTTAGCATATAAATCAGATCTACATTTCCCCTGTTTATTTCTCCTTTATATCCTGCAACCTCTTGTCTATGTGTTTCTCTCTCTGTCTATACCTGCTATCCCATGCAAGTTTTTCAGAGAACTTTTTTTTGCTGATTCTGGATATATATTTGGATATCTTACACCCTTTTCACTTGTTTCACTTCTTGCCTGTGGCAGGCAAGTCCAATTTAAGATAGACTTTACCAACTAGTGAAAATTTGGCCCCAGAACTCAGCTCTTTCACCTTCCTCTTTTACCCAGTATCAAAAACACTTATAAGGAGGCTGGATTCTTATTCTCCTCCCTGGCTCATTTTAAAAGCCTCCAAGTTATTCTTGACAAGAGGAAAATCCTGCTAGCATGTAAAGGGCAAGGAAAAAAAAAAGAGCACACAAATCATTTGGGGAAGAAATTGAGAAGTTGTTTATGAAGAATAACAAATGAGCTAGCAATTGCCAAATTTTGAAGCATGTTCAGCTGAACAGAGTAGTTAAAAACACTGCCAAATGTCAGAAAAGCTTATTGATAAAGTTATGAACCACTTTTCAAAATGAAAAATAGTCTATTATTTACCATTGCCTGGAAATCCACCTGTGCATTAACCAGAGCTTTTGCAATTTGTGCTGAGTTCTGAAAATGTACATTATCTAAAAAGAAAAAAAAAAAGAGATTGTCTGTTGAAACGTGTTAATACCACAAAGCATAAAGTTATAGTGCATTTAGCTGTGTCCACTAATTATCAAGTGATACAGTTGACATTACTAAGAACGAGTAAGCATCTTATGATAGGTCATATGGAAATCTACCAAAGATCTAAGTCCTGACCCAATCAAAGATAGATGTTTAATGTTTTTCAAACAAAGTGATTCTGGCTCTGTGTTTGTTCTGCCATTTGCAAACCTCACCATCTGCTGTTCCATGGATGAGAAGATACTCTACATTTTGGAAATTCTTTGCTCTTGCCATCACAGTTGAATTCTGTTGAGAGGAAAAAAGAACAGTTCAGCAACTATAATTTAAACCACTTATTTATAGTGCTGAAAGGCTTTCATTACCTAGTAGAAAAACAAATCAAACAGTTGAACTGACATGACAGCAGTGACTTCATATCAATCTGACATTACAATAGAAACAAGGTATAAGGCTATATATGTGTATATATATATATATCAGTCTCTACAGAGGGATCTGAACAAGCTGGATCAATGACCCAAAGCCAGTTGTCTGAGGTTCAACAAGGCAAAGTGCCATGTCCTGCTCTTGAGTCACAACCACCCCTATGCAGCACTAGGGGCCATGTGGAAGGGTGGCTGGAAAGCTCTCTGGTAGAAAAGGACCTCTGGATATTGGTGAGAACTGCTGAACATGAGCCAGTGCATCCTGAGGTGGCCAAGAATCCTGGCCTGTACCGAAAATAGTGTGGCTAGCAGGACCAGAGAAGTGATCATCCCCCTTACTGGGCAGTGGTGAGGCCACACCTCAAATCCTGTGTTCAGTTTTGGGTCCCCCAAGAAAGACACTGAGGTGCTGGAGTGTATCCTGAGAAGGGCAGTGGAGCTGGGGAGGGTCTGAAGAGTGAGTCCTCTGAGGAGTGGCTGAGGGTGCTCAGCCTGGAGAAGAGGAGTCTCAGAAGGGACCTTAACATTCTCTATGACTCCCTGAAATTATGTTTTAGCCAGGGAGGGGTTTGCCTCCTTTCCCAGGCAAGAGTCAACTGGACAAGAGGAAATGGCCTCAAATTATGCCAGAGGAGGTTTAGACTGGATATGAGGAAAAATATCTTCATGGAAAGGGTTGTCAGGCATTGGAACAAGCTGCTCAGGGCAGTGGTTGAGTCACCATCTGGAAAGGTATTTAAAAGATGTGTAGATGTGGCATTTGGGGACAATGGTTTAGTGGTGCACTTGGAAGTGTAAGGTTAATGGCTGGACCTGATGATCTAAGAAGTCTTCTCCAAACTAAATGATTCTGTGCATCTGTGATCTGAGACTTTCGCTTCAGGACAGGAATACCTATAAATAAATACAGTTTTTTTCTTACATCATTTGCATGTGTTCTGAAAAGCACCAGCAGAAGAAAAAAATATTAATCTGCACCATATTGATGATATCTGTCCGTAAAAGGTCCCTGTGCATGCTTGGCTTGCAGCAGGTAGCTTTCTGTGCTGTCACAAATGTCTCTACACTATCAGAAACAGATTTGATATTTATTGTCTTTTCTAGGGCCAATTCATACGAAGAACAGCACTAGTCATGTCATTCCCAGAATGCTCTAATTCCTGGCAACCCAGACAGCTCCACCAAGGCTGTTTGGTATTGAACATTTCTGTTCTTTGAGTTCGGATGGAAATACATACTGAGAACACGATTCAAATTTTAACAGGAGTGTTCCACTAAGTTCTTTGGATGTTAATTCAGGCCTCTCTGTATCCAGAGCTGGTGTGTGTGCTGCTAGAGGAAACTACAGACTTCCTATCAATGTGAAGAAAAGAATGGCAACCTGTTCTAGGTAGGGGAAGCTGCTCTGATCATTTAGTATTCTTATGATCTTATTATCAGAGAGCTAAATTTGTATGAAGCAGTTTTCATATCTCAGACCGCAGTACCAACCAAAACCTTATTAACATTAACATTTTAATTCCTGTCACTTCAGTTCTTTTCTAATCTAGTGGTTTGCACTGCAGAACAGTCTGACTTGTCCAAGTAAGAAAATAAGGACTTCCATTTAGCATTTTTGGGATTTATAAATACAAACCCACAATTAATTATGGAGATAAGAATTTCATGGCAGTAGCTTTGCTATAAAATGACTGTAGCATGAGAGTGGGTGGGCCACTTTCTTCCTTCACAGTTCTACTTATCCATATAAGTGTTATTCAAATTTAAGGCAGAATGGTACAGAAACAGAATTCTCACCTTATAGTGCTCAAGATTATCAGACTGTATAGGAAGACCCATAAATCGTTCTGTGTAGATCGATGCTGAAATTAAATAAGAAAAAAGCTATAGATAAAAAAAGTGCAGCTGTTTTGCGGCTTCAGTGACACATAGGAAATTAAATTATGTTTAACTCTGCCTGTTCTTGGTTTCCTCATAACACACTAAATTTACACATATTTTACAAATCAGCTACGAAGGCTAGTTATTCACTGTTCTCCAAACCATCTTTGCAGAAATAGTGGTTTTATGCTCATCTAGCTTTTGGGGATAAAGTTAATTAACTGATACAGCTTTATGCTGTTGGGTTGAACTCCAGAAGCCAGTTGAATAAGGCAATGAGCCAGTAAAGGTGCAGACTAATTCTGACACCTTAAAAAGAGGAGCTGAGGATTTGCATGTGTATTAACAGTAAATATGAATATGCATGTTGTCATTTTCCTATTGAATGTATATATGCAGCAACTAGGGGGAACAGGACAGGATAAAGGCATGAACTGAAAAGTGGCCCACTGTTTTCCAGGGTCTGTTCAATTCCTTTTTCTAACTATAACAAAGACTGGTAACAGATTTGACAAAATAAATGTGAATTACTGAACAGTATCCATCACCAAGAAATCAGTAGAAACATCTCTCTTTGACCTGCCTTGGTATTTGTACTTTAACTAGGAGCTGGTATGAAAATTTATGGAAAACTGACACAGCAGCTGCTACTACCAGAAGATTGCTTTCTTTATGACCTTGCCTTGAAAGAGGAACTGACACATATTGAGCAGTCAAGCTGTAGTATTACAAGAACTTTATTTATTTAAGGAAGTCAGGGCTTTCTGACAAAGAAGAGTTGTCATCTTTCCCTCCAAAAAGACAGGTGATGGCCATTGTAATCATTAAGGATTTGGGATTGTCTATCTTGTCCAGTTTGATACTATGTATTAAAAAAAAGAAAAAAAAAGAAATGATACTCCTCCCAGGAAAAGAAAATGTATCAATTTACTCTTGTTACCATAGTTTATTATATATCATTTACGTGTGCTACCACTGAGAGCTAAAGATGTATACTATGCCTCCCAGATCAGCCAAGCAAGGCTTCTGAAGATAATTTGTAATATAAGTACCGAAAAAAAATTAAGTAGCCTATCTTTTATCAAAATCCTTT